GGGATGGGAGGAGGGAGAGGAGGGTGGAGGGGGAGGGAGGTTATTGTGTTTAAAAATAGACAATCTGTGTTTTGTATCTCGACAGGAAAATAAAGATTCCGATGCCAATATAGTTTAAACCATCAAGCAAATGTGTACGGAAATTAATTTGATCACTTTCACACAAATAGAAGGCATATATATATATATATTTTTTTTTTTCTTATAATTTTTAGCCCAAGTTATGTATTTCTTTGACATTGTGATAAAGACATTCAGCAAATCAGATATTCCAATTTATAGATTCCTCTGGATTTGCCACTATGGTAGACATATATGTCTTCCATTATGAATCCTTACTCCTGATTGCAGATGTAATGATTATTATGACATGATAATAATATTGGGTTTCAAGTAACTGAACTTTACTGACAACTGTAACGTTGTTCTATTTATTGAAAAAAAACCATAAACAAACAGACAAAAAAAATAGGCAATGAAAAAAGACTTTTTTTATTGTGATTTGCGGGAGAAGAGCATGCAGGGTCAATAAATTTGTACACGGAGCTAAGGGCACCTGCACTCATACAAGACTTCTTGACATTCAAGTGTAGCCATAACTGTAAAGGCCAGACTTTTCAGAATGTTAATCTTTTACTGACTGAGCATATAATAAAACAAATGTGAAAAGTAATTATTCTTCTTGAACTGGCATACAAAGTAGGTGGTCAAGAGAGATATCAGAATTATATAAATACAACAATGAACATCTATCAGGGCAACTGTATTGTGAATTCTCATTGCAAATACATTGCTGCTTTATAGGCAGAATCACAGCTGCAGACCTTTTTCCGTAAACCCTAGTTGATCGGCGTGGTTAATAGAGGTAGAGTTAACTGACTGAACAGTTAATTGACTGTAACATTCATTTTACCCAAACAAATATAGACATGTAATATTTTCATTAAAACGTGACATTTCCTAGAGACACACTGATTGCTACATGAGTGAACGGATTCCTTTACAAACTGATCAAAGAGGGTCGGAGTACGATAGCTTTTCTATTCCTTAGAAAAAGTATGAATACACTTCAATCATATTGAAGGATTTCCATACAACTGATAGACAAATGAACGACCTTACATCCGCAATGGGGATAATATGTACATTTTACTACACTTGTATTCCATTTCAATACAGGATACAGGAAATTTAAAATTTCTGTGAATTGTGTAGAAAATTGAAGTTTCATCTTTATTGCTCTAACGTACAAAACTGTTATCAGGTAAGAATTCTTTTAGACATATACTCCCTTCCACAATATACATTGACCTTGACAGAGGTCGCAATTTAATCTGGACTTTTTAAGAGAAGGGCACAAAGCTTAGTGAATTTGAATACAAATCCATCATCATCATAGCAGCAGAAGAAAAGAGGCTGTGATAGTGTAACAAACAATGTGGACTTACACCTGAATACACAATTGGCCTCCATCAGTGATGTTTTTTTTTCTTTTCACAGTAATGAAGACTTGAGGGCATGAGCGATCAGTGACCAATAAAAACGTTGGATTACAACTTACTTCTGTCTTGTCAACCATTATTTCACCACCATCAGGGTCCCACCTCACCAGCTGACATGGACCTAAAGAAGTGAGTACAGTAAATATGTGGGGATTACTATATAGAATATATTATGTTATTTATAAACTATTGATGAGAAACCTTTGGATTAATTTACTTCAGCTATAAAAAGTTCATGCTGTCATGTCCTTTGATCTATGTATCTCCCATAACAGTTCATGTACACATGACCTTTGTTCTATAAATATGTAACAGTTCACGTACTCCTGACCTTTGTTCAAAAATTATTCCAGAAACAGTTAATGTACTCATGACCTTTGTTCTGTAACAGTTTATGTAATTATGACCTTTGTTCTGTAACAGTTCATGTAATCATGACCTTTGTTCTGTAACAGTTCATGTACTCATGACCTTTGATCTATTAATACCCTCAGAAACAGTTCAAGTTCTCATGAATTTTGACCGTATATAATACATACCCTCAGTAACAGTTCAAGTACTCATGACCTTTGATCTATAAATACCACCAATAATAGTTCATGTACTCACGAACCAAGATCTAAGTGCTTCCATTTATAACAGGTATTATACTCTTTGAGCTATATATATATGGAGTCATGCTCTACCTAGGGTTTACGTCATAATGTAATAAAAATCTTATTTATAGCAACCGTAGTACTGTACATAGAAATAAGATTCTCAAAACTGACAAAAAAAAGTGATTTTGAAAATTACATGAGATCTATCTTTGATATATATCTTCAATGAGGCGTGACATTTTCCCACTTTCACAGACATTTTGATGCAGTGAAGTGTTACCTTTAAAAGTATTCAAGTTAAACCAATGGCAATATAATTAAGCAAAACGTGTGACATGTATGTTCAAGGGAAATATCATGTCGCACTTTGGGTGAATAAATCTACACCAAGACTCACTTTACAAATCCAATCCAGCCACCATGAAATGTATATTTGTTATTTTCAAAATGATCCTGTAAACATGAGGGTTTTGGCTTTCGATATCATCAATAGATCGTTTGTAATCCAAGCGTATCCTTTGTCGGTTCAATCAAATAGTACTAAGCGTGTCATACTGTCAGCATATTGGCTACCAAAGCTCTTCTTATACAATCCTATCACGAAACAAACACAATCATTTCCAAATTATCTCTGACAGTCAAGATTTAATAAATCAGATTGCAGTTAAAGTGCAGGAAAGTTTAATATACGAAATGTTATAGCTGAGAGATTTACCACAGGTGTTTCTGTTCACCGTACATGGATGTCACTGGTGGTTTACCTTTGTAGAATAGAGACTGATCCAATCAACCTTTAGCTTGGCTATCATATTTGCATATTCTCTGAAGATGGATGATCATGAGTGCCTGATAATTTTTTTTTTAAATATGAAAAATACTATATATTACACAAAAAAATTGGTACATAGTACTCATTGGAAAAACTGAAATTCGTAAACCGGGGAAATGGATCAGAGTTCAAAACCCAATATTGAAGCATATTTGTATATGTGTATGTATGAAATAGTTATGTTCAGTACAGTATGTGGATATTATATTATTACAGCGACTTGTTTGGGTAGGTAACCTTGAGCACGTGAACACTAAGCATGTGGTTACTAGATAACATGTTGTTTTTGTATTGATTGTCATTACCACTCACACTCATTGACTGTTAATGACATGACAATTTAGCATCATCTACCATAATAATCTGTTCGCCGCCACCAGAGGTTAAATTAATCCACTCCCTATATGGTAGAATATAATATTTGATTACATATTAGTACAGGCAGTGTAGGTGATATGAACACTGACCCACGCAGGGTTGTAGAATTTCCATATCTTTCACTTTTACAGTTTGTTAGACTCCCCCCCCCCTCCCCCATTTGTTATCTTAAAACTAATTTCATAAGTAAATCTTTTGATAACAACAATTATGCTGCCTATATCAGCCTACCAGATAAATAAATGATGTAAAATTTCAAAGTGTTGTGTCATTTCACTCTTTTCATTCTGATGATATATTTCTCCTTACAACCATGCTGAAAATGAAAATAGCATTAACCTACCAGTGCACCCCCAAAAAAAAATGTTGGCCCAATCAGCTGACAATGTTTGCATATAAAGCAACAACAGTCCCCCTGAGTGTCACCACAGAAATAATGAAGTTGGGGGATTATGTCTATCTCCAACACAGAAATTAATTCAAATTCCTTATCCACCCACACATTTTATCTCTCAGTTGATTAAGTTTGATTATTTTGTGGCTCAAAAGGAGAAAAGGGCCTGTTTTTCCTTCTCTTAAATTGTTTTTAATGTTGTAAGATTTCTATCATTATTCTGTTTTACATTTCTATAACTAATTTTAATGTTTTTACTAGTTCAGTAACTGTTTTTTTTTATCTTAATGTTGTGTTTTCATCTTGGTGTTGTGTTTTTATCACTAACGTTTCCTGTTCTTTTCATTGCTAACAAAAGGAGGGTTCTGCAGCATCTTCCTAAACTTTCAAGGTGAATATATATTATAGACCTTGCCACAGCTTCCCATTTATATTCTCCTAATCCCTTCCCTACGCATGCCTCATATATGATGAATATATACTGGGTTGAAGGGGAAGATTGCTTCACATTTTTTAAGACCTATTCACCGTTTCCTGCGATTTACCTGGCTGCATAGATGCACGCTGTACAGACAAGGACAGTGCAAAGGACCTTATTTCCGATACTCAGTCAACCTGAAGATCACCTCAACATCAAACAGTTGTGCAATGATAAAAACATGGTGTAAAATAGGTCGGTACCCATGGATATTAATGAATGGACATTCCAATCATCTGGTCTGATTCCCAACTGGATACACCGTTAAGCCTAATTATGTAAGCATGAAATATTGATGGTGTCTATTCACTCTGTTGAATAGTTGAGACAAGCATCATCTTTTCATGGAAAACCCCAAATATTTCATGTCCTGGGTACTTATATATAGAAATGAGTAACCGCACGGAAATGTTGGTGACTCTAGGTAGGTACGTAGTCATAACAAACCTGCTATACAATGAGGAGGTTTACTACCAATGAAACACGTGTGGTTACACCCTGTAATGGACTGATGTCAATATCATTTCGCAAATTCTACCTCATCTCTAGATCTCCACGTCTAATATCACAATATTTACGACTTTCTCTATTCTGACATTAACACATATTTTTGTGTTAGGAAAAGGAAGAACAGTTATATATTACTTATACTGTAATAATAATCTCCATATAAAGTGTACAAATTAGATAAAGATTACATTATAATCAGCAACATATATCCTCTATATAAAGTGTACAAATTAAATAAAGATTACATTATAATCAGCAACATATAACTGCTGTTCCTTTCACAAATTCAAATAATTGTCAATTAGTTTTTCATGATTTATTGATTAAATGATGTGATCCAAGACATATCCTTTCCCAATGCTTATATTCAGTTCTCTTGGCTCTAAATTACTTAAATTTTCAAACAGCCCAAAACATTATACATGTACTTATAATTATTGTTCTACCATAACTGTGATGTAACAACAGTTTTCATTGGTCAATCTACTCCATGGACTATTTGTTATCCGATAGTTACATTTGCTTGCAATAATTATATATGCATGAAATAACTGCATGTTGTTCCAATAACTCCTAAACATGATCACAACTGATGTTTCGGAGGTAATTTATATTCTTTGACTTTACCTGTACATATATTTGTAGATAATTTACTAAAAGATAAAATATCTTTTTAATGTCTGTAGCTTTGATGTCTATATTGGCTTATGGGTTGATGTTGACATCTTTGTGCTTTAGATGATCAGTATCTATCTAGTTTCAACATGTAACAAATTTGAAGGTGTGGTTATACACTCAGGGTTATAAATATGTTAATATGGAAATAAGGTTTGAATCAGTCGGTTAGTTGGTAACTATATTTGTATCTGTAGCCATCCATTCATGGTATTATTTAAGGCCAATTAATCAATGTCCCTGGAGTCAGATTCAATGGGGGAAACCGCAATGAATCGTGGGAGAAATACAAGTCATATGGTCAATTTCACAACGAAGTGCTAAGAATTCAGAACCACCCACGTTGAAATGCCTTGTTGTGAAGCCTCAAGGTAAAGATGATTTCAATTTAGCATGTGGGACGGAAAAGCAAAAACGAAAACATAGTTTTAAAATTTTGTAAGAGTCAAATACAAACAGCAAACAAAATGTCTTGACACAATACAGTAGAATAATGTATGACAGCTGTATTGTAAGTGGAGTATATATATGACTTGGGTTCCAAGAATATCACACAAAATAAATAAATTATTATTGAGTTTATACAATATTTTCTCTTTCTGATGATATCATCTACCAATACATTTATGACAGTTACTTGTATCTAAACAATAATTCTGTCCATCCAGAAAATGTGTTACTTTAGACATTATTTCACTGGAGCTGAATCACCGATGATAATGCAGTTCTGCTGTATAGAGTTAAGTGTACATATAAGTATTAGGTACATTTTATTACCACTAGGTAAAATTACAGTGTAGCCTGAAATTGTCATAAAAATTGATTCCGACGAAACTTAACAGTATCATTTTCAGGCTATATAATACAAATATATCCCTATTTGGCAAATTAGTATGTAAACTAGCATATTAGTTAGACTATGAAAATCTCAAGATGTAATACAACACAATTTACATCTAAAAAGTAAATATTAAAACTCTGGGGCGTTTTACAACACACAAATCTACATCACGATTTGAACATAAGCATGTACTCAAGCTGTTTATATACACAATAGCATGTATACAGAAGGAAGTCATGTATGGCTGTTTATATACACAAAATCATGTATACAGAAGGAAGGCATGCATGGCTGTTTATATACACAATAGCATGTATACAGAAGGAAGGCATGCATGGCTGTTTATATACACAGTAGCATGTATACATAAGGAAAGCATGCATGGCTGTTTATATACACAATAGCATGTATACAGAAGGAAGGCGTGCATGGCTGTTTATATACACAATAGCATGTATACAAAAGGAAGTCATGCATGGCTGTTTATATACACAATAGCATGTATACAAAAGGAAGTCATGCATGGCTGTTTATATACACAATAGCATGTATACATAAGGAAGGCATGCATGGCTGTTTATATACACAATAGCATGAATACAAAAGGAAGTCATGCATGGCTGTTTATATACACAATAGCATGTATACATAAGGAAGGCATGCATGGCTGTTTATATACACAATAGCATGTATACAGAAGGAAGTCATGCATGGCTGTTTATATACACAGTAGCATGTATATAGAAGGAAGGCATGCATGGCTGTTTATATACACAATAGCATGTATACAGAAGGCAGTCATGCATGGCTATTTATATACACAATAGCATGTATACAGAAGGAAGTCATGCATTGCTGTTTATATACACAATAGTATGTATACAGAAGGAAGGCATGCATGGCTGTTTATATACACAATAGCATGTATACAGAAGGAAGCCATGCATGGCTGTTTATATACACAATAGCATGTATACAAAAGGAAGTCATGCATGGCTGTTTATATACACAATAGTATGTATACAGAAGGAAGGCATGCATGGCTGTTTATATACACATTAGCATGTATACAGAAGGAAGTCATGCATGGCTGTTTATATACACAATAGCATGTATACAGAAGGAAGGCATGCATGGCTGTTTATATACACAATAGCATTATACAGAAGGAAGGCATGCATGGCTGTTTATACATTTATAATTCAGTTTATTTATTTATGCTTCAATCTGTCTGGCAGCCAGGTATTTCATACTTTAACCCTTTCACCCCTATGTAACTTTAGTAACCTCTACCATGCTTTGATCTGGATGAGTCCATTGTCCACAATGGTGAAAGGGTTAACCAGCCCAACTAGAACCTTCTTCATTATTAGTATTGATTATTTTTCTCAAACTAATTTGACAAATAAATATTGGAACATTTTGGTATTTATTCATAAAAGGTAATACATGTATTTTACCAAAACTAACTTGTGATAGCATGTATTTAAACTTGAGATATAATTTTTCTGCTTAACATTTTCTTACTTTAATTTAATAAAGATAGAATTGTGACATACGTTTAATCATATCACACAATGCATTCAACAATATCACAGAATAAATTTGATACCATTAAACAGGTCTATTCATTTTATGATATTTATAAATATACCTATTTTATGATATCACTAACTATGTCTTCTTTATGATATCATATCATCAAATTCATATCACAAGATAAAGAGCTATGGCAGAAAACTGCCCATATTTCCCTAAGTCTGCATTTATGAAAGCGGAAAAAAATATTAATGAGTAAATAATTTCTAGCAGTGAAAATGCTTAGAATGGATATAAAACCAATTGAATATGAATTTTTGAACTGCTTAGATATTAGGTATTGTAAATATGATAGTGCAAATATAGCCATATACACTATATCTATGAAAATGATGGGTTTCCCAGACTTAAAAAAAATACTTTCAACACTTTCCCATCTGAGGACCAACTTTTGAATATGCAAAACAACTCGTATTCCGGAAGGAAAGTGGTCCTCCTTTGGGAAAGTGCTCAAAATATTCAAAAACAGGGGTGAGCGAGTTTCTTAAACTGCAACAGGTGTTTCTTGGGTTAAAACAGTTTGTATTTCCCTATTCGTCTATGTTTGATGTTTGATGTTTGATGCAGGCGAAAGTGTAACACAGTTAACTTGTGACCAGACAAAGTGAACGGTCAAGTTCAAATCCATGTTCAGGTTCCTTTCTTTTTTCTTTTTTTTTTTAAATATTTAGGCATGTGATCCTTTTACTTAATTAAGTACATGTATATAAAATACTTTTCAAATCAATGGTACATTTTATTTATATTTTAATAACATACCTATTGTTTTATCTTCTATAGAATCATGTTAACAAATCACTGTACACGTGTACAGTACAGCTATGCTTTGTAGATAAGACATCATCTTAAAAGATATCTATGAATTGTTTCACCCTCCAATTGGCACTTGTAATTTTATCTATTATTTTAAACACAAACAAATTATGCTGGAATACAAAAAATGTGGGATTAAAAAAAGGCCAAGCAAAAAATATGAAGTGTTATTATCGCAAATATTTTACCAAAAATACGGGAAAATTCATTGTTGAGGATAGTCTCATTTGTTCCAAATGCAGGAAAACCTCAGGACAAAGTAAGGATCGCAATACAGGTGAAAGTCATGCTGTTCAAAAATTATATAAATCATTTTGCCTTTCATAGGTGCGGGAAAAACAAAATCATGATGTGTGTTTTGTATTAAAGCAGGTAACGGCATGACGCATGCGGTAGAAATGAAAATTTAATCCTTTCAAAACTTGTTCGTACAGCATATTATTTGTTTTAAATTCATAGAAATAATGCGAAATAAGCGTTTTGTTGAGCCTTTATCATGAAACGCATGTATCAATAGCCATGGTCTTGAATTCGGCTGTTTACATTAATCTATTCTTAGACACAGGATGCCGATAGAGCTACCTGTATAAAAATACCTGAGGACGCCTCATAACAGTACACGGTGGCGTGCGCACACTAGCGGTCTCACCTTTGGGGAAATAGGCATAGCAATCCGCCATAGCTCTTTGATGATATTATATTTTGTGAATAAACACCAAAATGGTTTATTAGTATGTGTCTATATCAATGTAGTGGAGTTAATGCCTTTACCGTATATTATTAGTTGATTTAAGTTAAATTATCATTGTATCAAGCAAAAATCAACCGTGGCCTGCAGTGAGTGTAAGTTTACAGTTAGAATATTTATAACTACATAAGCAAGTACAATGTAGTCATATGAGGATAGGACAACATGTAAAAAGTTGTATTCCCAGGGCCCAGATGTGTATAGTCTGATAAACATTACATTTACAGCTACACAATTATCCAAAGAGCAATTTTTTGAAAAAGATCTTAAAATTTACAAAAAAAAAATCATCAAATGATCATTATAAAGCTCTAATCATATTTTTATTTTAAATTTCAATATTTTTCAATTTATACCAGACATAAGTTTTGTGCTAAGCTGTCCTTAGGCTAGTACACTCTCAACAACTGTTACATGCATTTTAAAATTATTCTTAAAATTATTAAAAAATACATACTTTTAAAAATTGAGTAACTAGACAGAAGTTTTTGGTCACCAGCCTTGAATGTTTGTCTACCTCTATGAAGTAGCTTTTAGGTATTTTAAAACACATTGTTCATTTACAAGACTTCCAATGTGAGGCATGGTAGTCTAGTGGTAGGACGCCAGGCTCGTGACCGAAGGGTTGCAGGTTCGAGTCACGGCACTGTTTTGTATCTTTGAGCAAGATACTTCACTCCGCTTGTTCCAGTCTACTCAGCTGTAAATGAGTACGTGGTTGGGCAGTGCTAGAATTGCAGAATGCTAGCCGTGAGCACCGAAATGGCAGCACCGGCTGTATATGCTCCCCAGGGAGTTGAGAAAGATATTGGCTGGTTACAAAGGCCCTATAACCACGGCTAATAATTTGTGAACTGCTTTGAGACGACCTACGAACTAGGTTGTGATAAAGCGGTATAAAAGAACCTCAAATTATTATTATTATTATGAACGTTTAATATTACCGCATTAAACCTACTTTTTTCGGTACCTCATCCTTCCACACGTTGGCAACCCTTTTCATGTTACATGCAGCATCAGTTAGTATTACTGCTGATTTAGAAATTATTGTAATTATGTCCTTTACAGTTAGTGCATATAACGTTAAATATCGTTAAAGCTAAAATTACAACTACATTCTGTTAAAATTCGGTTTCTGCTAAAGTATGGTTATCATTCAAATATTGCCCTGGCCAAACCAAGAACATTTACCATACTGGAATACCAATAACATTTTCCAATATATGCTAGTTAATGCATCTACTTTAAATGCAATTTTCAAGGTATTTTAAATCAATTTTACACAATTTCAGATTTTTTTCAGATTTTTATTTTATCACAGATAAAGCACCTGGTACATGTACTCACATGTACAAAACAAAAATCACTTTTTAGATTTAAAAAACATTATTCTGCCAAAAAAAGACTAGGCAATCTAAGATGAAATAATATGGACATTAAATGCAGTGTGTATTGGATGTGAAACTTGTGTCAATATGTAAGTTCTTTTTGATCTATTTAAAAGTCAACTTAAAGTGAATTTAACTAAAGCTGTAATTGTGTACTACAGAAATATGTGAGGATTTGTGTCTGTAGGTACTGAATATTCAAAACAGAAAATGGTTGTTTTGAATCAATTATCAGTAAAATGACAGTAATTTATTTAAGAAGACAACTATCTGTAATGTCATTTAAATCCAGTATAAAAAGTAACATCCTTCTTGTAACATACTCTACTGGAATAATGAAACTCTCAAGGAAGAATACTCCTTTGCAATGTACTTGAGAAATAACATTTGGTCATTCACACAACATCACTCTCATGGAATGCACTTGTGACAGAAACCTCGATCTTTCACATCGTGAAACTTAAGTTAATTGAAATAAACTTGTTGTAGAAATCTTACAGCGATCCATGGGAATTAACAGTAATTGTCACAAAAATGTCAGTCCTTAATGCCATGAGAATCAATTGAAATACAAAAATCTCTGTCATTATGTCTTAAATTATTAAAGTATTAAATTATGTAAAATTAGAATTGTGATAAATACTGAAGGTTATATATTTTTCTTGTAGGTTTGATCCATTTCAAGTATTTGAGGTAAGTGAATTTATTTGAGAAGCAATGACAGATTTAATTTAACACCCATTTCCTAGATAAGTAAGTTGTCAGGAACCTTTGTGGTTGATTCTATAGTTTTATACTGCATTAAAATGTAGAAATGAAATTGAAGTATGGTTTATTGTTTCAATGAATTTGCAAGCATACGCTTAATTGTTTCCATACCTTTTTCATTACAGTAACTGATTATTTTTAGAAAAATACTTTTGTCTCCAATATTTGGAGTAATCTTATATAGCCTTACACTTTCTCACCAATGCAGGTCACCCACTATCCATGTGCTGTGCTATACATCAAGGTCATTTGTGGATACAACATCACCAAAGGATGGGCAGGGGACCTCAGTAAGTAACCTGTATAGCGGGCTGAGAAAGGATAGGTCCTGATTTACAACCAGGCTTGAGAAAGGCTTCTTACTCACAAAACAGCGTCATTATTTTTTTTTATTTTTTTTAAATGGCCTTTTGGCTCCTAACCTTCTAATGCCAATATTCCATTTAACGAAAGTTTAAATGAAACCTTTAATCTAAAAGCTAGAAATCCATAGCTGATATTTTGGACACTAGATTTTGCTTTGTATAGGAAACATTTAACTTATGAAAGTCAGATCAATGCTTAACAGCATTGTGATGATAATAAAAAAAAATGTAATTTATTCATGTTCTTTCAATTACTATGAATGAAAGATATGTGTGATTATGACTGAACTTCTCTCTACCTCTTCAGTGGACACACCGGATCCGTATGTCACACTCTATATCAAGACGGCGCCCAATTGTTTACAGAAAACAACCATCAAAGATAATGACATCGACCCTGTTTGGAACGAGACATTCACCTTTTATATTGATCCCAGAGAACGCAGCAATACACTAGGTACATATCCCAGCAATAGAGGGTGACCTCTCTAGTCAGAATATGTACCGCATGTCTCACAAGTAATTCCAATAATACCTTAGAAATGTAGATCTCCCCTGACAGGTGATACCTCAGGCATCAATAATTACAGAAACATCTTCGCATTAGAGGATGGTCTTTCTGGACAGGTGGTATCTCGTAGACAGGTAAGTATCGTCATACCTCAGAAATAGAGGATGATCTCCCCTGACAGGTGATACCTCAGGTATCAATAATTACAGAAACATCTTCGCATCGAGGATGGTCTTTCTGGACAGGTGGTATCTCGTAGACAGGTAAGTATCGTCATACCTCAGAAATAGAGGATGACCTCTCCTGACAGGTGATACCTCAGGCATCAATAATTACAGAAACATCTTCGCATTCGAGGATGGTCTTTCTGGACAGGTGGTATCTCGTAGACAGGTAAGTATCGTCATACCTCAGAAATAGAGGATGATCTCCCCTGACAGGTGATAGCTGAGGCATAAATAATTACAGAAATATCTAAGCATTCGAGGATGGTCTTTCTGGACAGGTGGTATCTCGTAGACAGGTAAGTATCGTCATACCTCAGAAATAGAGGATGATCTCTCCTGACAGGTGATAGCTCAGGTATCAATAATTATAGAAATATCTTAGCATTCAAGGATGGTCTTTCTGGACAGGTGGTATCTCGTAGACAGGTAAGTATTGTCATACCTCAGAAATAGAGGATAATCTCCCCCGATAGGTGATAACTCAGGCATAGATATTTACAAAATCATCTTAGCATTCGAGGATGGTCTTTCTGGACAGGTGGTATCTCGTAGACTGGTAAGTACTGTAATACCTCAGACATAGAGGATGATCTCCCCTGATAGGTGATAGCTCAGGTATCAATAATTACATAAATATCTTAGCATTCGAGGATGGTCTTTCTGGACAGGTGTTATCTCGTCCACAGGTAAGTATCGTCATACCTCAGAAATAGAGGATGGTGTCCCATAAGAGGTGATACAAGAATATAATTACAGAAATATCTTAGCATTCAAGGATGGTCTTTCTGGATAGGTCAGGTATTTCCTGGACAATTGATTACTGTAATTTGTCAGCAATTGGTCTCAATGGACAGGTAGTATCTCCTGGACAAGTATTTAGGGTAATACCTTAACAATAGAGGATGGTCAATCATCTTACTAGATAGGTAGTATCTCATGGATATAATACAGTATTATTATACTTGGCAATGTTACATATGGGGTCTGTCATGACAGGTACGTACATCTCAAAACATGCGAGAAATTGTCCTATAATGATATATGCTATTATCTCTGAACACTCGAAAAAATGTCAGTTTTACTTTGAACATACTGTACTTAAATTCGGACTGAGGAGTACCGTGATCTATACCACTAAATTAGAGTATAGTCTTTATTTATGATACCTGTAGGTTTCTATGTAGTCATGCTACCAGTCATGACTTTACAATTATAATTACCTATATCATCAGTAACGACACCTATACTCACACAAGAATAAAGAGTCCACAGAACAGATGTAAAGTGACACTGGGATGAAAGTCTCAGTATCAAAATAACCTGTAAAGTGACCCATTGGACGACATTTTCTTTCCTCATTAAGTACATGTATTGATGACTCATCCTAGTTCCACTTTCATTGCAGTGATATCACTGATGGATTCTAACTACCTCATGGATGAACCTTTGGGGTCACAGGTCATCGATCTCAAAGAACTACCGTATCAAGGAAAAGAAAAATATTCACTTGAGTTTTTTGGGGTAAGACATAATTTTGTCACATACAAAAGATGTTACTAGTAATTTATTAATAGCACAAAATATAATTTCTCATTTTATGTGAAATTTATAATCACACATTAACCTGCAGACTCGACCTTTTGTATAGGCCTTGTAATGTTTGAAGACAAGTGCAATGGTTGAATCTACTAAATTTATCAAATTTGAAAACCTTTAACCTTTTTTGTTTGAAAAGTCTGACTATATTGATATTCTAATGTTTTGACCATGTTAAGTCTGAAAAAATTTGACCTTACTGCTATTGACTATATATAAAAAGTCTTACTTCTAACTACCTGGTAACTGTCCTTACCAGTCTAAACTTGTATCGGTTTTACCTTATCCTTACAGAGGCTGAACTCTAACCTTTTGACCTTACAGAGTCTGAACTCCAACATTTTGACCTTACAAAGTCTGAACTCTAACCTTTTGACCTTACATAGTCTGAACTCTAACCTTTTGACCTAACAGAGTCCGAACTCCAAACTCCAACCTTTTGACCTTACAGAGTCTGAACCTTTTGACCTAACAGAGTCTGAACTCCAACATTTTGACCTTACAGAGTCTGAACTCTAATCTTTTGACCTTACAGAGTCTGAACTCTAATATATTGCCCTTACAGAACCTGAAGGTAAACAATTACCTAACAGAACCTGAACTCCAACCTTTTGACCTTACAGTATCTGAACTCCAACCTTTTGACCTTACAGTGTCTGAACTCCAACCTTTTGACCTTACAGAACCTGAAGGTTAACAATTACCTAGCAGAACCTGAAAACTACCTAATACTGTACATGCATATTGACCTTTCAAAGCGTTGACCTGACAAATCTTGCAATACAAGCTTTTGACCTTACAGAATCTAAATTCCAATCTTTTGACAATTTTAAATCTGAACTCCGATGTATTAGATATATGTATCTGTATGAAAACCATTTAGTTAAAAAACAGTTTTATATTAATTTCAGACATCAGTGGTTGAATTTGAGCTATGGGCAGACATGAAGTAAGTATAATAATCAAATACCATCTCTGTTCCTTTATGTCGTAGACAGTCTAAGGAGGTTTTACCTTGTTGTTTTACAAATATAGATAAGAGGTAAATAGCAAAGGGGTCTATCAGGTTCATTATTAGGCAAGACAATATAATCCATCACTTTCAATATATGTAATTATTAAGATGATCCTAAGTCTGAGACCTCCCCACCATTACTAACCCTGTACATGTATTTATGATTTGTCCAGCCATACCACCTCCTAAGTCTGAGACATCCCCGCCATCACTAACCGTACATGTATTTATGATTTGTCCAGCCATACCACCTCCTAAGTCTGGGACCTCCCCACCATCACTAACCCAGTCATACCACCTCCTAAGTCTGAGACCTCCCCACCATTACTAACCCCGTACATGTATTTATGATTTGTCCAGCCATACCACCTCCTAAGTCTCGGACCTCCCCACCATCACTAACCCAGCCATACCACCACCTAAGTCTGAAACCTCCCCACCATCACTAACCGTACATGTATTTATGATTTGTCCAGCCATACCCCCTCCTAAGTCTGAGACCTCCTCCCCATCCCTAACCCAGCCATACCACCTCCTAAGTCTGAGACCTCCTCACCATCACTACCCCAGCCATACCACCTCCTAAGTCTGAGACCTCCTCACCATCACTACCCCAGCCATACCACCTCCTAAGTCTGAAACCTCCCCACCATCACTAACCGTACATGTATTTATGATTTATCTAGCTGTGAACCACAGTTACGGTTTAGTCTCACACTGAGTGAGGAGGAGCGAGCATTTGTGGAAAAGAGAAAGATGCGAATATTTGACACCATGAAGAAATATCTTGGAGAGGATGCACCAGTTTCCATACAAGAGGTTAGTCTCACCAAGTGCAGGACGACAAAAGTAAAATATTCCTGAAGTTGGTTCTTCACAAAGAAACACTAAATGTACTCCTTTACAGAGATTACAGGGATATTGTATGTACTGGTAGATACCTATGGGAACCATGTTTGTGATAAATCAAGACAAATATAGTTGATCCCCCTTTTTTATGTCCATGCTATCTGATCTCCCCTTATGTAATTGATTGTACACACCATAATGTTGTAATTTAGACATAAAAAATAATCACCTCGAGTGCAAATGACCACAAGGCTTGAAATGATAAACTCCTTTTTCAGTCTTGAATTCATTATTATGTCTATATATCTAAACACTACACAAAGTCTTCAAATATATGTGCAGTACTGGGATTCATTCAGGACAGCTAAACACTGATGAACTTTGGTGGCTCCTTTGTTACAGGTGCCAGTTATAGGTGTGATAGGGTCCGGTGGAGGATTCCGAGCGATGACTGCGTACAGTGGGGTGTTCAGTGCCCTAGTCGACACAAACATACTGGAGATGGTCACGTATGCTGGGGGATTGTCTGGATCAGCATGGTAAGTCGACTGTCCATCTCCGAACACAAACATGATAGAAATTAAATGGCTATATATCCTGAAATAGAGTCCAGGTCAGCATCGTTTATATATACCCACTGACTCTAAATTAAAGTTGTATTAGACATGCATATACACTAGTGGATTTCTCACTTCATTTTATTTTTTGCCTTTCTCTCACTGATACTGTATTTAAAGCTGTACCTGTATTTTCCTGTGTCATATTATCTGGTTATTGTAAATGTATTTTGCGGTGTTTAAGCTGTGTAAACTTATTTCCTACCTGTATTTTTCTGTGTGTTGTACATGTATTCACCTGATTTAAATTAATTTTACCTGTGTGTTGTACCAGTTATTACCTGTTTTGACCTATAATCATTATTATACCTGTATTTACCTGTGTGTTGTATCTGTATTCACCTGATTTTACTTATGTGTTGTTAACCTATATTTGCCTGTGTTGTATTTACTGGTACCTGTGTGGGGTATCTGTATTTTACCTGTGCGTTGTACCTGTATTTACCTGTATGAGTTTTACCTTTAGGTACCTATCTCAGCTATACACCCACCCTGAATGGCCACAGAGGTCCCCCCTTGCCCTCCAGGAGGAGTTGAAGAGTAATATTGATTCAAGCCCTTTTTACCTGTTAGGCCCCAATAGTATGTATTCGTATGTCTCTCGGATCATGGAGAAGCGTCGCCAGGGACAGCCTGTCAGCTTCACTGACTTCTTCGGACATCTTGTCGGGGAGACTCTTCTCAAAAATGTGAGTATGAATCAAGAATCTTTCAAGTAGTATGCAGGGAAATATATATTGTATTTTGTTCTACTAATATTATTTAATTAGAACTGTTTTAGGAGTTTTTGCGATGAGGTTAACTACTAAGCCTGTGTAAATGACATGTTATCGTGCAAGCAACCTCATGATTGTCTAACATATTGTTTGTTGATAAAGGCCTAGGTAAATCGCAGTAAATCACCAAAGAAGTATTCTACATACCGGTACTCTACTTTGACCACAAAAAAATCTCAATAATTATTTGTTTTCCATGTTATCAGCGGCAAAATGCCAAATTGTCGGACCAAAAGGAAAAGATCCAAAATGCTGACATCCCTATGCCTCTGTACACTTGTCTTCACGTCAAAAAGTCTGTCTCTGCTATGGTCTTCCATGGTACGTATTTACCATAGCATTCAGATTTATTTCTGTACACGTTTTCACTACAGTATGCATGTGTCTCTACTCTGGTCTTCAGGACATTATTCACTTGATTTGGTATACAACCCACCCCCTTTAGATATCATTTGTCTAACAGTAACAACACTACATCTGAAGGTTGGAGGACAAGGGATAAATAAAATTAGCCTACTATATCCCACTGCCTGATTGTATAAGGTGACTAATGTTGAGCCACCTCGAGAACCATAATTTCATTCTGCGATTTTTAATTGGAACTCTGAAGAATCAAACTTGATCTGCATCAAAACCCTTATAACCTTTATCTTTTCTCTCTTTGGGTGGTGTCTCCCTTCTTTGGTTAGGCTGTTATCAGAATAATATAACCTGGCAAGACCATAAGCTGCCATGCCAAAGTTAAGCTATCAAAGTGTGGTGTCATCATAAAATGGTCCTTGACCTGTGCAAACGGTCATCAAATAACCTTAGCTGTTTTCAGGCAATAACTTCTAACAAAGAAAGAGGCCCAGAGGGCCTGCATTAATCGCTCACCTGGATATCTAAGCAATCATGGAGAAAAATTCTCCAAATAAGCTCCCAGAGATAGGGCCAGACCCCAAGGCCAATCCTTGTAGCATATCTGTATTAGATTTTTCATGCCTAGCAATTGTAGGTATGGTTATGGGGTGGGGATCTCAACCGTTTCAAAGTTATGACCAAGGGACTAAGTCTCCAAGGCATATGTGCATTAAATCTCTTTATACTCAGTAATTGCATATATGGTTATAGGTGGGGATTTTAACCATTTCAAAGTTATAAACTGTTTTTGGCCCAGGGGGTTAGCCTGTCCATTTGTACAATTTTGAATCCCTACTACCTAGGGATGATTCCAGTCAAATATGGTTGATATCCATCTCTTAGTTCCAGAGAAGAAGTTGCTAAAAGCAATATAACAAAATAACCCTTTTGGACCCACCCCTCAGCCCCCTGGGGGGTGAGCCTCACCATTTGTACACTTTTGAATCCCTGCCTCCCATTAATGCTTCAGACCAAATATGATCTATATCCAGTGAATAGTCCTACAGGAGAAGTCGTTTATAGCAATATAGCCAAATTGCCCCCTTTTGGCCCCACCCCCTCAGTCCCTTGTAGGGTCAGCCCTACCATTTGTACAATTTTGAATCCCCACCACCTAGGGATGTATTCACTCAAATTTATTTAAATTCCAATCAGTGTTTCAGAAGAAGTCGTTTGAAGAAATTGTTGACGTACGGACGACGGACGCCATAGTATGGCATAAGCTCACATTGGTCCTTCGGACCCGGTGAGCTAGAAATATCCAAACTAACACTTTGTTGTACCGTATGAAATATATGTATGATATTGAAACACTGTTTCCTGCAGAATGGATGGAGTTTACCCCCTTTGAAATTGGATTACCTAAGTATGGCACATTCATGAAGTCAGAAAACTTTGGGAGTAAATTCTTCATGGGTCAGTTGGTGAAGAAGTACCCAGAGCAACCTCTACACTTCCTACAGGGTAAGTTGTTCAACCGTCAATAATAAGTCAACCAGCTTCATCAGTTATTTTTTCAAAGAATCTCTGAAATTGACCTTCTTACAAAGCCATTGTGTAAACTCTTTGGATATGCAATTTCAAATATATTCACACATGTAGGAATTAAAATCAGTTTTGTTTTTTTTTGCATTTCAAAATCAATAATAGTTAGTCAAGTTTGAAAAAAAATCTTTAAATACATTGATATTAAATAGATCAATTTCTAATGTATGCAACATTAACAAGCACTTCACAAGGTGATTTGCCTCAGGTGACTGACTATGTGATTAACCTTATTAACCTGGAGTATATGACGTTGTAACTGACCTTGAGTGACCTTGTGACTGATCTTATAAAGGTGATTGACCTTGGGTGACTGACCTTGGTTGTGTGTTTCAGGTGTTTGGGGGAGTGCCTTCTGTATCCAATTCAAGCGCCTCCTCAAGGATGATAAACGCACGGACGAGTGTCGCATTATACAGGAAGAACGGGAAGAGCTTGGTGGGTACCTCTCATCCGCAATAAACGCTAACAAATAAGTAGAAACAACATATTAAATACATCGTATGCTATACAGATGTATTGAACTGAAAGTGTATCAATACTAATTACAGTGTAGAATACAAAAATTAGGTGAAAACACTGCCCAACAGTAAATTTTGCTTAATCCAATGCTTAACGCTTCGCAAAATTATTCAGTTTTTATCTCCTATTATCAGAGAGAGAACTTCTTCAAGAGCTTGACACACAAACAGATGAGGAAAGTGAATCAAGTGAGACAGAGGCAGAGGAAGAGGAAAGGAAACGCAAACAGATAGAGCAGAAAGGTCGCCGGAAGAGTTCTGTGGCCAGTGTTAATAGCAGGAGAGGGTCCACAGCCAGTATTACTAGTATGAAGGACACAGATAATAACAAGGGCTTTATCAGGAGCATGTTTGGCAAGGTGTTGGATAGCACCGGCAACTACCTACTGGGTTCCATCGAGGGGCGGGCTGCCAAAGTACACAGCTTTATGAGGGGTTTGTCCCTGTACAAGGTCTACCCATTCTCTCCATTCACTTCCATAGACGAAGGGACAGAAGGTGAATATCTCAACAAGGATCACCGAAATCTTTCCAATATTCATACAAGAAGTGTTTGTTATGTTGATTACCAATTAATACATGGAGTTGTGCTGATGTATCCATGGTGACCGTTAAATATAATAATTTGATGAACAGGATGTCATTGATGGCTGGCTAAAACTACAGAAACAGGAACTCAAAAACATGATCTATTACAATGTTATATTTAGAAATGTTCATAGATATCTTGTATTTGCAAATTTACCTTGATAATTTTACAGGTTAATATTTTGTGTGAAAACTCAAGACATGTAATAATTAAATATTGACATGTGTGATTTAATTCAAAATCTTTTAGAAATCAATTGCAGGTATTTTTGAAATGTTTAGCCTACATTTAGATACTTTAATTTTTACAACCTAAAGTTGACGCTAAGCATACACCTTCAGTACACATGTTTGATCTACTGAACAGGTATGGACCAGTTTGATGGGATATTTGAGATGTATCCCACCAACATGAAAAAGCTGTATGTGGTAGACGGTGGACTGACATTCAACTCACCGTTCCCCCTCCTGCTTCGCCCTCAGCGACAAGTTGATCTTCTTCTGTCCTTCGACTTTAGTGCCAGGCAAAGTGACAGCACACCACCCTTTAAGGTAATGTATATCTGCAAGAAAGACCGCAAAACATCCTATACACTGTATGTCCTACATGACAAACGACCCCTTTGGTCTGTAACAATGCCTTTACATCAAGTCCCATTTGACAATGTACCACTCAATTTTCACACTATTTACCATTTGAGGCAAGGCACACATTTCATACCATTGGAGGCATGCCACACAAACCGTCTCTTACCATTGGTCAGCATGCCACACAAACCGTCTCTTACCATTGGTCAGCATGCCACACAAACCATCTCTTACCATTGGAGGCATGTCACACATATTGTCTGTTTCTATTGAAGACATGTCTCATTAATTTTGTCTCTTACCTTTCCAGGAGATCAAGCTTGCAGAGAAATGGGCACGATTAAACAATGTGCCATTCCCCGAAATTGACCTAAAACGTTTTGACCGTGAAGGAATGAAGGAGTGCTATGTGTTCCAGAACCCCAATGATCCTCGCTGTCCCATTGTGCTCCATTTTGTGTTGGCCAACATCACCTTTAGGGATGAGAAAATGCCAGGTTAGTATCACACTTAATGACTTATAGGCAAGTAACTAGTTCAGGTCACATCTTTTTCTATTCTTAATTCATACATTAAACTTGAGTAATAATTGAAGCTTACATTAGCTACATGCATCTTATAAAGGTATATCGGTATCAAGTAGCCTACATGAAAAATACATGTTAATTAATTTAGCATCTTAGAAATATCTAGGTTTCACTTCACAAAATGTGCTGGACATGATGTCACGAAGTCGAGTAGTGAATACTGGATGATGGAGGTAGAATCAACAGCAATGATATAAATGCAACAAATGTATAACAATTCACCATATATATGTACAGAATCTACACAAGTGATAACGACTGAGATAAACCAACACTACTTGTGACACATGAACTCAAAATAATCAAATAATGTCATAACTGTTTGATTGATATCAGTTTTGCCAGAATTTTAATGATCAATTTGGTGATTTACAGGTGTTCCTCGAACTACAGAGGAGGAAAAGGAGTTTGCCGACTTTGAGATCTTTGATGATCCTGAGAGACCCTATTCAACATTTAACTTTAAATATACTCACCAAGCCTTTGATCGTTTAACAAAGCTGACCGAGTTCAATACCAGACTTCATAAAGACCTTATCATTGAAAAAATTAAGGAATGTGTTAAAAAGCACAGGAACAATGGTTCAGTGACACGGAGACCAATCAAACTGAAGGACATCAAAAAACTCCGCCTCCAAAAGATTGAGGAGGACAGGTTAAAGGAATTTGTACAGTCCTTTGACGATGGAGATGTGCCAATAGTGTGATAGTTGTTGGTACAAATCTTCAGTTTCCTGCCATTCGAAATGGTAGCACCGTCTAGGACCAATGTAACACACAAAGTTCAAGGTCAAAGATGATTCGTGCATTGTAGTACATCCTACATTTGATATTGATATTGATCAAGGATGCTCAACATTCCAGGCCATTTATGCCATTCCAGGGGCGACTTGTCATAAATCAAGTCGTCTCTCCTACAACACGGAATCAGGGTGCATACAACTGTACTAGTCAAACATCAAGTTTCTCTAGGAGGCACTGAAAAGGACATGGTTAAGACATGAAGGAAACATTTAAATTTACAATGATGATGGTTGTGTGACATTTGGTGAGTGTGCTGGAGTTAAGTGTGGGCTAGTTACAGACATGGTATCACACAGGATTCTACTACTAGGTCAGCCAAAACGACCAGATACTGTTAATTACCTCCATCATTTCTGCTCATACTGATTCAGGTGGTATTTTTTTTAATGGCTAGCTGATGAGGATTTCAACCCATGAAGGGAATAATAACAGAGATAACTGGGTTTTTTAAATCAATTGCCATATGTTTGAATTTTGAGATAAACTTTCCTAAAGAATTAGTGAGGAAATGTAAGCAAAACAGAAGTGATTTACCCGGTAAGGTAGCTGGCCAAGGTAAATCTATAGTCAACAAACTAAGGGAGTATGTGAGATGTGAACAGTGTTATGGAATATAATATTCAAGATGGAACAGTCTGCATTCCTACAAAAGTGACAACTGGACTTTCTTTTACAGTGAAACAATCTAAAACAGTGACAATTTGAATGTTGTTGTAAATAGAACTGTCTACAACCCTGATATCAGCACGGTTATCATAGGTGCAACAGTCTATAACTGCATGTGACAACTGGAATGTTATCTTAAGTGGTACCGACTACAACCCCGATATCAGCACGTTTATCATAGGTGCAACAGTCTATAACTGCATGTGGCAACTGGAATGTTATCTTAAGTGGTACCGACTACAACCCCGATATCAGCACGTTTATCATAGGGGCAACAGTCTATAACTGCATGTGACAACTGGAATGTTACCATAAGTGGAACCGACTACAACCCTGATATGAGCACGTTTATCATAGGTGCAACAGTCTATAGCTGCATGTGACAACTGGAATGTTATCATTAGTGGAACCGACTACAACCCTGATATCGGCACGTTTATCATAGGTGCAACAGTCTATAACTGCGTGTGACAACTGGAATGTTATCATTAGTGGAACCGACTACAACCCTGATATCAGCCTTTTTATCATAGGTGCAACAGTCTATAACTGCATGTCACAACTGGAATGTTATCATAAGTGGAACCGCCTACAACCCTGATATCAGCACGGTTATCATAGGTGCAACAGTCTATAACTTCATGTGACAACTGGAATGTTATCATAAGTGGAACCGACTACAACCCTGATATCAGCACTGTTATCATAGGTGCAACAGTCTATAGGTGCAACAGTCTATAACTGCATGTGACAACTGGAATGTTATCATTAGTGGAACCGACTACAACCCTGATATCATCACTGTTATCATAGGTGCAACAGTCTATAACTTCATGTGACAACTGGAATGTTATCATAAGTGGAACCGACTACAACCCTGATATCAGCACTTTAATCGTAGGTCCAACTACTAACTACAACTGTGTTATCAGGACTGATGTCATGAACAGAATAGTTTACATCTGTGATACCATGACAATATCTATTACGGTAAACATTATTAATGCATTAAACCATTTTGTTACACTTAAGAATGTATAAAATGTCATAACATTCAAAACATTTCTCATAGTTGTTTGTTTGGTTTATCTATTTATCTTCTGTACTATATGGAGGCGTGGTAGTGTAGTGGTAGGACGCCGGGCTCGTGACCCGGAAGGTTGCAGGTTCGAGTCACGGCATGGCACTGTGTTATATCTTGAGAAAAATACTTTACTCTGCTTGTTCCTGTCTACTCAGCTGTAAATGAGTACGTGGTTAGGCAGTGCTAGAATTGTAGAATGCTAGCTGTGAGCCGAAATGGCAGCACCGCTGTATGCTCCCCAGGGAGTTGAGAACAATATTGGCTGGTTGCAAAGGCCATTATGGTAAGTAACCACGGATAATAATTTGTGAACCGCTTTGAGACGACCTACGAACTAGGTTGTGATAAAGCGGTTTATAAGAACCTCAAATTATTATTATTATTATTACTACATTGTATAAGGCCAATGAGGAGTGCCCACTGATGGCGTTCCTATGACGAAAGTGTCCACTGATGAGGCAGTCAATTAACAGCAAAGGTCCCATAATGATAGTGCCAGCTGATGATAGAGACAACTTAAAGACCGGACATATTGTTTACTCCTTTGATATTGCTCAGGCAGATTTCGCTCCGACGATCAACAAGTTTTTGACGACATTATAACACATTATAATTAATATAATGAACCACAAAGACTTGTAAGAATGAGCATCCAATACATAATACATCTATACTTGTCACACTCAAAATTCTCCTGTTTATCAATTCCTGTAACACCTGTCTATAGGGCAGCCATTATAAAAAATCACATACCAAGGGGACAATTCATGTGCCAAGAGGAATAACTAGTACCGGGGTATAAAGATCTGGCCATCACCAGGTGGATTTTTGTTGTTATATTTCCCAAGAATTGAAAATAAAGAAATCATACACGTTAATTCAACCTACATAACCTGCTTAAACGTATGTAATGTATATAGAGGTCAAACCAAAGGCTTCCTTCCGACTTGGCTATGGCAAATTTCTCTGTTGCTCATTCAGTAGTGTCAGAAAAGTAAACAAGAGGTTTTGGGTTTGATTCCTCACAGAGACAATGGAAAATAAAGGCCTACTTACATGAGTGCCCATATAAAGACCTGGGAAAATATTGACCAAGATGGAGGCATGGTATTCTAGTGGTAGGACGCTGGGCTCGTGACCGAAGGGTTGCAGGTTCGAATCACAGCACGGCACCGTGTTGTATCTTTGAGCAAGATACTTTACCCTGCTTGTTCCAGTCTACTCAGCCGTAAATGAGTATGTGGTTGGGCAGTGCTAGAATTGTTGAATACTAGCTGTGAGCGGTGAAATGGCAGCACCATCTGTATGCTCCCCAGGGAGTTGAGAAAGGTATTAGATGGTTGCAAAGACCCTATAACCACGGATAATAATTTGTGAACCGCTTTGGGACCTCCTACAAACTAGGTTGTGATAAAGTGGTCTATAAGAACCTCAAATTATTATTATTATTATTATAATTACTCATTCTTGTTTATATAAGCATCGCTTTTACCCCTGGAATGAAGGAAGGAATCTACACAATTTCATTTTAATAATGACAGTATTTAAGAAGAAATCTACTTGATTTCATTTATTGACAGTATTTAGGGCAGAATCTACAGGGCTCGTATTGATCGTATCTAGGATGGAAACTACATATGCTCATCATGCCATTTAACAGATCTAAAACTACTGATAAGTATAATATAAAAACATCATATCAAGAATTGATTTATTACATATATCTTACAGTACAAGTTAAATAATAAAACAATGTATCAAACAGAAGTTCAGAACAATTCCACATAATGTAAATGATTTAACAAACCACTAAGACAACACAAATTAGTTGTGACTGACTAGGTTTTGGATGCGATGATGTATTTTACCAATGATAGGGTCTGAACTGTATGTAATAAAATTGATTATTTACCACAAATTTCCACAATATCTATTTCTTAATACTTAATGTATATACCTTTTGTCCAAGTTGACAGTATCACAAGAGCAGCAACTAATATCAACAAAACGTTTGTTTTTTAAAGCTTGTAGATATTAGGTAGATATATCATTCTGACACAAAAGTCTCGGCAACAAATGCTGTTCTTAAATTGTTAACTCCCTTCAAGAATTTCAGCAATTTAATTCAAAAGCCATTTCTACACAAAACCACACAGACTATTAGCTAAAAACATGGAGTGGCCCACAGAACTTCAGAGACAGCAAGTTTACTTGAGACTTGTTTAAAAGCAAAACACACTAAAGAAACTTCAATCAACGGAATTAACTTATAATAAGTACACCTTTATTCATGTACAGTGGAAAAAGCCCATATTTTCAAAACACCGAGTTCTGACACATGACAAATCATTTCCTAATTAATTATGTTGGTGTTTTTTTTACTAAATTTCCAGATGGTTCATATTAACCCTTTCACCCCTATGTAATTTTAGTAAACTCTACCATGCATTGATCTGGATGAGTCCATTATGGACACAGTGGTGAAAGGGTTAAACAACATATTAGCTTTACACTTAACTGACCTAAAATTAAAATACATTTGGTGAAATCTGAACTGCAAACTTTGCATTAATTTAACCTTTGACCTAGAGGTGAAGGTTATTACAGTGACCTAATTACAATGCAATGCACATTTATGTAGGGGAACCTCCAAGTTTCATCAAGATATCTCAAATGGTGTTAAATTGAATTCCTGGAAAATATATGTTTGAAGAACCAAAAGAACTTGTAATAATATGATATTTCTTTTGAAGGGAAGATTCATATTAAAATTTGAATTTAAAAAGGGTCAGAAATAATAACATGATAATGTTGATTTATTAGCCCAAACCCTAACATATATACAGTACATTTCCAAAAAATCTCTTGCAATCTTTCTATCAAATGTTGGCCCCAATCACACAAGACAATTGAAGCAATACTTGGGGTTAATCTGAACATTTTACATAAATCCACGAAAGACTTTCTAGAATCAATTGTACAAGAAACCTAAAATCATTAACCTTTTCATTTTTTATTTGTGGTTAAAGAGTTGCTTCCCAGCACTCCCAACATCACATATTTCAGACTTCATCACAGATCTTACAAACTTACACTTTTATGGTTGAAGAGTTTGAAATCAATTATAGCCTTCCCCTTCAACATCATAAATTAAATAATAACATGATTTTTTGGTTTACTTTGTAAAACATCCGGGAAAAAAATCATAACATTATCAAAGTTGATACAAAAGTAAAGCAGCTCATAGAACTACAAGCAGTTTAGAAATTTGAAGACAATCCTTTAAAATGTATTATTTCGTTTGTTCCATGATAAAAGATGGACAAGGTGATTTTAGGATTAAAATTTGCTGTCTCATGATAAATCTGTCATGCTGATATCTTCTTTTTTAATTTTCTTCTTGCTGGCCCCCTCGGTGTTCCCAGTGTTCCTCATGGCCTCGTGTTTTTCTATCTCGGGGAGGATATTCTGGTAGGTGGGCAGCGTGTCCTTATCCACCAGAGAGTACTTGCCACTCTGTGAATTATTGGCCTGCAGAATCTTGATCATTTCTTGAGGAGTCATCCTCTTGTGTATGATGAGATAAGACTGGCCTTCTTGTTGGCGAATGTCATGTTTCAGATCCAAGTTACGGGCTATTTGTCGCACTTCCTTACTCTCACTGAATGGCATACCTGTCCATAAATAAATATGTTTTTTTTACTAATTCAAATTATGACAATTTCATTATGATAAAAAAAAATCAAAAAAAATCTGAGAAATGCAAATTCATCACCAATCAACCATGGAAAACAAAATTATTACTAAGTTAGCCAACTGCAAGCTAAGATAAGCTTTTAGGTGAAAAAATAATATTTAAGTGATAACCTCAAAAATTAACGTAAACAAACCTCAAAAACCAATGACAAGCAAAAATTTGAACTAAAACCTGTGTTAGACATGAATGCTCTTGCAAATTTCTATAAATGATGATGGGAGAATTGGTTGACAAAAAGTCGAGTACAACTAGACATAGTAACAAAGACCTTGGCCTTGACCCTTTGGAACCTCACATAATACTCATTCAAGGTACTCTGGTACTTGACATTTACATAAAGTTTGACCGAAATTCTTCTTGAAATGAAAACACTTGGCCAAAGACAATGAATCAGGACAGGCTGTAAATCCTAGTGAAGGGCAATCGGTTTAAAATCAAAATCGATAATTGGTTTGTAATTGGAAGTAGTGAACCGATCGATGATCGATTGCATAATCGGTTTCTTATCTTATTGGACTGAATATCCAAATAAAGTGAGAACACTACTATAACATCAATAGACAGATTATTTCACTATACATTAGGTTCTGTTCTTTTATAATGTTTGCATATCAAGCAAATTTTATGCATTTTTATCAACCATATAGTATAAATCATAACAATATATCACTCCCAAAGCATACTTAACATGGAAGACATTTGAATACTGATGAACTGATTATATCAATTATGGAATTTGTAATCGATAATCAGAATCGGAAAGGGCAAACCGATTGATTTTCGATTACAATCGATCATTAGCCTATCACTAGTAAATCCTCTACTCATCTGTTGTCTGACCAACATCTGTATAAACACAATGAGCATGGAGTGCAGTCCGTGTCCCCAGACACTTCAATGGCTTGTAGAAAGTGTGATACACAGGTGTGTCTACCTGTTCAATGAACAGACAGGATACAAGAACTTGGGTGGTCGGGGGAAAATTGGAGTTTGAGGAACACATATTATTTGACCAATGACTGTTGGATAAAGTTGTGACTATAAAGCAAAATATTTGTCAAATGGGGAGTATTCGAGTTAAGGGAGTGTGAGTAAGTGAGGTTTCACTGTACTTTTTTCTGAGAAATAGCAATAACAAACTTTAACTGTCAACATCCAAGCTGGCAGACAAACTGTTCTCAATCATTCCTAAAACAGGTCATGCACAGCTAAGGACTAACAAGATCCTAATTTTGAAACTTTAGGATGATCCCCAGTCATAGCAAAACCAAGAACTGTTTACAGACAAAATTGTGATTTAAACAGCCTATCATCTGATTATAGTAGACAAACCAGAGATGGTGTCAAAGCCACCAAATGCTCGCCTTTTTAAAATTTTATTGTATTTAAAAATTTGTTTGTAAAAATGAAAAGTTCAAAACAGGTTAAAGGTCTAAAAAAATCAAAATGAAATTATTTTTTTATTTTAACTTCACTTCATCAATATTTTACCCCACAGGAACCTCAATGCAGGTCAAAATATTTCAAAAGTTGTGTGAATTTTGTTTTTAATTTCAACTTCACTAAATCAATAGTATACCCCACAGGAACCTCCATGCCAAATATCAGCATCCTAGTACACATATTTAATGAATGACAAGCTTCTAAATAACTTGCAGGTAAAACATTAACATTTTCACGTTCTTCGAACAGGCGAGCTAAAAAGCCCTACTAAGTGGCCTAAGAATACTACTTACCTGGTCCAAAGGTGAGCTCGTCAAGCGTCTGTTTGGCAATGTGCTGTGTGATCATCTGTTCAGCCACCTGAACAACCCACTTGTTGGCAGGGATGGAGGGCTTCTCTTCCCCGTCTGCTGGGGTTGGAGTAGCCACCACCTCTTCCATCGGTGCCCCACTTGCCACCCTCAGAGCTTCTGCCTTTGTCTTAATCTCAGGGTACTCCACCCATAACTTGGTATCATCTCGTCGGGAAATCTATAAAAAAACATTTCTAAAAATAATATCAAATCACTAATTTCCATGGGGTTTCAAATTTTTTGGGTTATCTTCATCCATAAATTCATAGGTTCACAAAGTAATTACAAGTTTGACATAAAGCAATTCTCTGTTTCAGTGGGTAATCGTAATCCACGAATTCCTATAATTACGATATGGTGTTTTGGGCCCAATGAAAAAATGTCTGATTTCACAGGTTTATGTTTTCAACTGACCTATAGCTATAATTCACACATCCATGAATCCACATGCGTGTGTGTTGTCACAAAGAAAACTGAATGATAGATATCTATTTTAAAAGGTAGACAATATCTTATTTCTTTTCAAGACTAGCTTCACCATAAAACTTGCAAACAGATTTAAACTCAAAATTAATCTATTTTTTTTATAGTAAAATCAATAACACCTAAAACATGATAGGATTCCTCTATCAGTCATTTCTGTGAAATCACTAATTTCGTTTTATCTATCTCAGACAAAACCCAACTATACTAAGATAGATCACTTAAACACTGACTCTTCAGGGTAGGCCCTGTCGAGGTAAATCTCATAAACCAGCACCATGTGTATAATGCAGACCGGAACATTTTGGAAACAGTTCAACTCTTGCCTTGTGTGAATTGATCATGGCAGCGAAAACGGAAAATATTACAAGCCTCTTTTACGCAAACATGCAGACAAAATTTGGGTTATTACAATTCAAAACAAAAGAAAAATTAGTTACATCAAGCAAAATGTTACGATAAGTTTGTTTTGAAAGGTTTCAATTTGGGTAGTGTCAACGACCGTGCTATGATGTTGAATATGAACCTACTCTGATGACGTGTTGCGTTTCGTACAACTTGAAGAGAGCACACGCAGCAGCCAGGTTCCTGGAGGTGTTTTTCCCCAGAGCTGAGGCCTCCCCAATCATCTTGTGCTGAAGATTAATTGTTGACCTGCAAACAGAGAACATGTGTTGTGATGACTGCAGAATCTAATATTTCATTGATCACATTGACATTACAATTTACAGGAAAGAAATGTAAGACTTCAACATGCTTTTGTTTGTATGCTGAGCGTTTCAATAAGATTTAAAGATGTGTTGTGGTTTTGGAGATACATATTAAAACTTACTTGAACATGTTGCCATCATGTTCTGTCTGCCACTGAAGCAGCATGCCATTGAAGGTCGAGCTGTAGTTCAGTATACAGAAGGCCTGCCTCTGTCGATCAAAGCTCCAGTCCTCATGCTCCATCAACACAATTACGTCCACAGTTTTCCAGGCTTCGTTGGGATCCATCTTGTTGCGTTTAAGCCCTGGCATGTTGGTGTTGGCATTGGGTTTGCCCGAGCCTTTGACCCACACATCCATCACGCTGGGGTCATCCTGGTCGCCGGGCTTTAGTCGTTTGTGTTCCTTAAGAATGTAGTCTGGTGCTGTAGTACATAGAACATCCCATGCGCTGTTGTAGGTCTCCACCTGGGCATCCTTGCGGCGCTCGGCCTCACCGGTCGCCATCAAAATGCTATCCAGGTACAGTTCACAAGCAATCATAGTCTTGTTACCCTCACTTTCAAGTTTTCTACAACACCAAAATGTAAATGCTATTGACAGAGGCTTTACTGACAAAGCTCAAGATACACTAACTTTCATATATGAAGTACACCATATTCCAACATCAATTTGCATATCTCTTAATGAATCAGAAGTGTCAACAAGAGTACCGCAGGGCGGAAAAATATACGCCTGTCGAATGCCAAATATTGTTATATACTTTCTTACATTGAAATAAGATCTGCATCATTCTAAGAGTGGTTAACTGACATGCTATAAAAAATGTAGGAGAAAATCTCCGGACAAAAAATCAAATACTGAAATGAACAAAGGGCAATAATTTTTGCAAAAATCGTTGAATCAAAATTCTTTTAAGGGAGACACAACTTCATATCATGATTATCGTGTATACCAAGTTTCAAAGAGATCGATCGAAAAATGTAGGAGGAGATTGCCGGACAAACAAAAGTTTATGCCGGACGGACGAACCCATACCATAATACTCCTGTCAAATTTGATGGGTGTATAAAAATATACTTAGATGCACATTTACAGGATTTAAACATCCTGCATAAAAATGTAGAATATTCAAGGGGGCAGGGAGGTTAAATGCTACTAGCAGATGGCTAATGTTGTTTTTGTACTATGTAACAGACCTGTATATACAGGTCGGAGTGAAGCCCAGATGTATAGCAGTGACATCAAGATAATTAATGTTATTTTCCCGGAACTGGGCCTCCTTGATTAGTTGTGTTATCTCTGTCATCTTCTCCAGAAGTGTCTGACTACTGCGGTCCTTCTCTGGAACTGTTGGCACCTTTTCCTGGACAACTCCCGTCACCGCCTCAGCCTCAGGTACACTCTTCAGGATTTGGGCCATTGTCTTGGTTCTCAGGGCCTCCAAAGCTCTTTCATATGTCTGTACCTGATAACAGGACCAAAGAAGTGGGGTACTCAATTACACACATACATTTCTTATCAAATGATGTCTAAAAAATTTAATAACAATATTCATATGTGGACATTCAACCCTATGCAGCACATACAATGCTAATTAATTAATACTATGTGTTGGGATGGGATTGATGAAGAGCTGTCGATTTGACACATTTTTATAGCCATCTTAACTAGAACACTGACAGGTCAGTAAGGGCCCCGTCTTGTGGCAATATATCCTCCATAATCATCAAGAAGCAATCTGCCCATATAGCTGAGCTTGACGTTTGACATTTGGACCTCAAAAAGAATGGCAAGGAAGCTAATATACATTTTACATGTACTATGATGCGAGTCTAGTTTCCTTCCACCTCCATATTTGCTGGGCTAACAGAAATGTAAATACCAGTGCAACACTCATTTGTTAGCTTCGATTTGTTTCATTTTACCTTATATACCTCCTTCATCAAGAGCCAGGGTCAAAGACAGAGATCCACTTTGTCTTTGACCTTTGGTTCCAAATGACCTTGACCATTAACCCAGTGACCCTAATCTTTCGTCAGTTGACTAAATCTTTAATTCCGACCATCTTTACTTCTTAATATCATAACAAAATGATCATCAGTGAAAAATAAAAACTTGACCTTGACCCTTTGGACCCCGTGACCTGGACCTAAGGTCAGTTGACTATGTGTCATGTTCTGAACAACATTGCTTCATAATGTCATAACAAAATGTTCATCAGGGAAAAGGTACAAAATTTAACCTTCACCTTTGATTCAGTGACCTTGACCTTTGGTCAGTTGACTCCTTGTTTAATTCTGAGCAACATTGCTTCAAAGTGTCATAGCGAAATGTTCACCAGTGAAAAGGTACAAAATTTAACCTTGACCTTTGACCCAATGACCTTGACCTTTGGTCAGTCGACTCCTTGTTTAATTCTGATCAACTTTGCTTCATCATGTCATAACAAAATGTTCATCAGTGAAAAGATGTAAAATTTGACCTTGACCTTTGAATTGAATGACCTTGACCTTTGTCCTTGACTTTTTACCTCAGTGTGTCTGTTTAATTCCGAACATCTTTGCTTCATAATGTCATAGCGAAATGTTCACCAGTGAAAGCTACAAAATTTGACCTTGACCCCTGACCCGATGACCTTGACCTTTGGTTAGTTGACTCCTTGTTTAATTCTTATCAACTTTGCTTCATAGTGTCATAACAAAATGTTCATCAGTGAAAAGATGCAAAATTTGACCTTGACCTTTGAACCTAATGACCTTGACTTTTTTTATCTTAATGTGTATTTTTGTAAACTGAACATCTTGACCAAGTTTCATGTATATCGGCCCATAGATACCAAAGTTATCAGCCAGGAACAAAATTTGTGGACAGACAGACAGACAGACAGAGTGATTACTATAGGGCACCCGTATCTCCGATACGGGGCCCTAATTATTCCAATATTCATAAACCCTCCAAACATAATGCATTTGATTGAAGGTGTGCACTGTAATAATAAATCAATGATCTTCACCTTTAGATGAAATGGATTTGAAATTTTTAAACCATTAGCGATGTCTTTAACAAATTAAGAGCAAACCTGTAGATGGCATGTGGTGCATTATAAATAAGTCAGCATGACCCTCACCTCTACGTCAAGGAAAAGCAACATTTGGTAACTTTTGAAAATTTAAAGATATTTTGATGAAACTTAGTGCATACCTACATCACCCACTGGTGCGCAGTGCACTTCAGTCAGTTCACTGTGACCTTCACTACTAAGTCAAAGGTGAACTATGTGCCAATCAGAAAGTCGTATTGGCTATTGATGGGGCAATATACCAGGTATGTTTTTGTAAAAATAAATAGTTTTGACTATTCTGAATCCTCAAATGAGGTTTATTTGAACACTATCTTTTAACGGAGTGTGATGCCTAAAATCTAAAACAACACAAAGCAAACTGAAAATACCTTGGCATCCTTTTTCTTGTAGCCAGTTCCAACTGCAACCACAACCTCAGCGATAGTTAGTGAACCCCTGAAGAAGAGTTTACCAGTGGGAAGACGCACCATCTGTCCGTCAAATGTGTGTGTGAGTCCACAATGAGATGCAGATATACCCTGCTCTATACAGGAGATCTGTGACTCCGGCAAGTTGGTGCTCTCACGCAGGTATGTCATCAACTTATCAAAGCCGTCATGTTTAGTACTGTACGTGTTAGTCATCTCTTCCATAGCCTGCTTGGCCACCTGTAGAGACTCGGTCTTTCCCAAGCCTTCCTTCTTTACCTCAAGACTATTGGTAAGCTCAGATCTGCAACAGACAGATAATGTACATAAGAAATAATAACTTGGAATACAAATATCTTAGATCAAATAGTTATTTTGAAATAATCCCCGATAAACATCCTTAATTATTTTTTTTTCCAAAACAAATGACAGTGAATGACCATGGCACCCATCAGGTTATCTACACTGGGACCAACACTATGGCTCAATGACTGTGGTGACTGTCATGGTGCTCTCCAGGTTATCTACACTGGGACCAACTTTATGCCTGAATGACATCAGTACTCACCAGATGATACACACTTGGGTTAAAATCTTGTGTTGGAGTCACCGTACTTTCCAGGTTACACACTGACTGAAATCTTGTCTGAATGACCTCGACAGTACTAACCTTATACTCGTACATACTTTAACCAAAACATTATGACTTTGAATAACTTGTTCATCAATCACCAGTTTGCTTGCGCAGGGTTTTGCATCAAACTCTATAAAATTAAATCACATATGGTATATCAAATAAAGGCTGATGGAAATTTGAAAAAGAAATAAAAAAACGGACCTAATTGCCTCCACCCCAGGATCCTTGAGAGCAAATATCTCTGCCACCGTCTTCGTTTTGACGATGTCCAGACCTTTAGTGTAGACGTCGTGCTTGACCTCCTTTTTGTTGGCCCCAACTGACCGTGTCAGAAAGATACTGTCAAGCTTGAGGTAACCAGTGTACATCCAACGCCCAGCCACACGCATCAACTCTTCAACCTGTAAAGCAGATGAAATGCCCATTTAGGATAGTTTTACCACATTTAAGAACTGAAAGAATCAAAATTAGCCAGCTTTCAATCTCATACTTAACACAATTTTATAAAAAGCTTTTGGATTTCGACACCTCCCACAACATATTGAAATTTATAATTAGAATTTTTGCACATATCAATAGGTATACCAGAAATACTAATACGTGCTTCTATCATTCACATCTTGAAATTATCTTGAAAAAATCTATTCCATTCATTCAGATTATATTTCAATTCATTAAATTTTACAGAGTTTGAAATATTTCTCAAATTTTCATCTTGAATTCAACAAGGATATGTTCTCGGATTTAAGTACCACTAAAGTTAAACAGTCAAGAATTAATTGAAACCAGACTCTTCTGGTAGGTCTGCAAACTTTCAATAGTGGTAATATGGGAAAGGCCGATACAGTATCTTACAATACTGAGCAGAATCCTGTGAACTACCAAAGAAAAAGTAATTTAAAACACCTCTATCTGGCTGTGTTTAGATGATGAGTATATGTTAGGCATACAGAGCTACAACTTGTTCCAGGTGAAAGTTTATGAGAAGACATAACAGTTTTACCTCGTACTCAGTCTTCAGGCCCAGCTTACTTCCCGTCAGTGCATTCTCTATGGTCTGGATGGAATTCACCTTGTTGGTCTCTGCCTGCAGGTAGAGACAGAACCTTCTGATCTTTTCTGCAATAGACATCTTTGTGACATCTGGGACAGACACCTTGGCCAGACTGTGAATGGGAGGCACCATGGCATTACCCCCTCTACCCCCACGCCCACGCTTGTTTCCACGCATGGGTCCAGGAAAGGCCTTCTGGGGAGGGAAACCAGGCTTTTGCTGGCCTCTCTTACCTGAATCAAACCATTAAACGTCAAGTATTAGCAATGATCAACTTCCAAGGTATTAATTACTGCATGCTTCGACTGCTATGCAGCCATCATTGCTGGAGAGTATTACTAACTTCTTTTGTGGAAAATATCTCATTGTCCATGTAGAATTACTTTCCCAAGATTGACATATATCCTGGATACATTACTTACAAGCTAGTATCAACCAGGTCTACAGCATTTTAGTCTAGATATGGCATTGAACATGAAACAGATCTCTTCACATGAACAACACTCCTTATGATAACATTTACCTTGCATCTTGTTAGCAGTAACAAGCAATATGTTGCTTGTTACAGCAACATGTTTATTCTCTGATAATGGGTTTCATTGCAACTTCTATTTCTAATCCAAAAGTAAGTTTTCTTCAGGAGTCCCTAGCATGACAAAGATTTTCTTTTGAAGAAATTTCTAAGTTGCTATTAAGATTAACAAAGATGATATAGAAATCACATGTCCATGATATTTTGACATGTGTTACTACTCGTGACATTAGAACAAAATCCAGCATGAAATTAAATTGCCAGACTGATGAGTGAGGACAAACAGTTCCACATCTGTGCATGTGCAATTCTCCTAAATGTATCATAAAACAACATTGAAAATAAATATTTATAAAAGAATTATTATACCTATTCATGACAACACCTTACCCATCATGCCACCACCTTGATTTCCACGGTTATTTCCCCTGCCACCACCGCGCATTCCTTGACCTCCTCGCCCCCATGGTTGCTGTTGCTGTTGCTGCTGTCCTCTACCTCCTCGACCTCCACCTCCTCCACCGCCTCCACCACGCTTGTTCCAGCTCTGTTGGTTTTTGTTATAACCCTTGTTGAAGCCGGAAGTATTGTTGGATGGGAAGTCAACATCCTGAGAGAAGTCTGAAGACTGATTGTACCCTCCTCCGGACTGCTGCGGGGATGACTGGGCAGACATGAAACAAAACAAATTAATGCAATTATGATATTTCTGTGCCTAGCCACCATCTAGTATAAAGAACTTCTAAAGATGAATACCACTTGGAAGTGGCAAGTGGCTATTTATATGTCATAAATAGAGACCAACCTGAGCAACCTATAAACCCCCAACCTCCAGTTAAAATTAGTATCAAAAATTCAACAAAGGGCCATAACTCTGTATAAACTGGGACACAGGAACTTATTTGTGGGATTTGTGGCATGCAATCATACCATGAGATACACACACACACAAAATGGTTATTGTCATTGATATAGGCGATATGCCCCCACCAAAGTGATTCCGTTTCAGCAAATGCAACACTCTGTCATCCCTAGAGATACTCACATTCAAAACTAGTTTTTGGTAGGTGACAAAAAGCATATGAGATAAGCCCCAAAGTGATGACTAGTGAATGAAGGGCCATATCTTTGTCTATAATTGGGAATGAGATATCCTCCAAAATTTGACATACTGAAGGACTCACAGATGAAGTGCAAACCTTTAGTCTTTTCGGAAGAACTGTTGGGCTATTCATTGTAAATATAACAAAGTTTCCTTATCAATGCCTGAAACGAACAATACTTACGCCATAGTCTGAGTAGCTAGACTGGGAGTCGTTTCCCTGGTTGTAATAGCCGGAATCCCAGTTCTCATAGTAGGATGCATATTGGTCTGGCTGTTGGGTGCTTTCAGTCTTCACAAATCGTGACGCAGGGGGATCCATCCCGCGAAAATATGGGTCTGTAGAAGTGCTGTCATAGTAATTAGGCATGGAGTAGCCATCCTGGGAGTCGTTATAAGAGCGTTTCTTGCCTCCCTGGGCATACATACTAGTGTCACTCTGGGTTCCATACCCTCCTAGCATACTGCCCCCCATAGCTCCCATGTCTTGGGAGTCGTCCCCCCAGGCTCCTCCTCCTCTTCCACCTCCACGGTTGCCTCTCTGTCCAACCATGGCAGAGTTTTATTTCTGTAAAAGAGGAGCAACTCAATATTAATCTAGCTACACTTCTCAAACAGAGGTACTCAAGCACACAAAAGTATTGCAGCGCATTACATGTCTCCTTCCACGACACATGATCTATTTTTCAGGATTGATTTTTATTCATGAATTTTTGTCAAAACCTTCAGATGTTAGGAATTAATGTTTCTTATATCAACATTCAGTTGTTCAATAATGTTTGTAGAGACGAGAATTGCAACGAGTTGTTTGACACTTGTGTGTGACCTTGACTTTGAGGAAGAGACAGGAGACTGGAATGTGACATACCATCCTGTTATTATTTATCCCTTTTTTAAAGTTTCATCAAGATAAATTCAGTCCATCAGCAGTTTCAGCCCAGACAAACATTACAATGTTAAGACTGAGGAGTATGTAGATTTATCAGAAGTTCGGTGGGTGTCTTTTGAAACATACTGTACATGTATAATAACTAACCCAGATATTTCAAAAACATCAGTCATTATTTAACTGATTGATGTTTCACTTAAACTTGCAGTGATCACACAACAACAAAAGAAACAGGTACATGTGTTACTTAAACCAATACACATATATTACCTATATAACCTATTATCATGGTAAATGTTTTTACAAATGCATATATATTCTATCCTCTTTTTACATGTTCATATACATTTAACAAAACCAACTGAATTGCATACATTTTTTACATCAAAGAATAGAAACTTCAGTTTATAATATACCTTTGAAAAGAAATATTTCAAACTGTACTCAAGTATATTTTATAAGTAGAAGACTGCTGATGATTGTATATGGTTTTCAGACGTCCAACATCACTGTTGTGGAGCACATTCTCATGGTTACAATACTTACTGAAGTTCTGTAATACTGAAGTATACAGACCCACATCAGAGGTAACAACATGTTCAAGCAATGTTTGGTACACATTCTCCATCACACATAATTCTAGTCAAGAGGAATGCTTGATGCTGCATGTTAAATGTAATACCTTACAGTGCTTCTATTACTAGACACTCCCAAGCATGAGAGGGGTGAAACAACGCACTGCGCCAGTGAAGCACAGCTCTACTCCCATGTATACAACCCTCACAACATTGGCAATCTGGCCCATACAATGCTGCGCTATGTATGCTATGGTTGAGAACGAGCACATTCACTGGTGCAGTTACCTGCTCTTCTTGAAAGATTCACACCCCTGATGGCAACCCCGACTTCACCTCCACAGTAGAGCTGAACCTGAACAGAAAAACAAGGACATTGTAACAGGAACACTGGCTTCAGTTTCATCCCCTCACTTTATATTCTGTTGCTATAAGCACAATAACCTTTCAACACGAACAAAAGTTTGACCTACAACAGATCTAGTATTAAATTAAACCCCAGTTAATCAAAGTAGGAAATAATCTTATGTCTGTTGTTTATTTGACATTTAGCCTAAGATGTTTAAATCTTAACATGAATACTAATGTAACTTCTTTCTTAATCACAATCCCCCCCCCCCCCCCAAATGCATCTGTAGGAACAATAAATTATGTTTTTGGTAGCCTATCAATGATGCACTGGTTACGTAAGATTTCTTGTCCTTCTTTGAATGGCAGCTACAAAATCTTAACAATTTTCATTTAAGTCTTTTCTAATATAAATATGTTAATAGCACTGCACATTATACTTATTCTATTTAACATTTTGAAAGCATTACTTTTTCAACTATCAGAACAAAACACCTATATCATAATTGTTGTTTTCATTTGTAAAACTGAAGCTTTTCACAACCTTTGTTCAAATATTGTAAAGTTATTGTTAGCTTACATAAAACATAAAAGTATAAAGTGAACAGATAGAAAATGCAGCAGGTGTTGCCAACAATATAATTTTTGACAAACACTATACAATATATAATCAATCACAGACCTGTACTACTATTACCATTGATTTACCTACTCTACATCTATATTGATACAACGAATAAACATCATTTCATATGGTAAATCAATGTCTAAAGGCTAATTCTGAATACTTCATCAACTGAAAGTAATATGTGTGTGAGGTTTGAAATTCCTGCTTTTTCTTATAGCAAAATAACATGTGTGTGCTGAACTATTTTTGAAGATTGCCAGACTAAAAATCAAATTGTACTTGTCAAAAACCTTGTTTTACTTTATTAAAACCAAAATTTCAAAAGATTTTTAGCAGACATTGTTTGTTTGGTCAGGTATAGTTTGACCCATACTGCAGTTTGGCACAGAATTTCAGTTATCAAAAGACATTTAATGTTACAAACAAGAGGCCCAGAGGGCCTGTATCGCTTACCTGGAAATGTTAGTAAAATTGAAGTTAGAAAATATATAGCCAGATGTTCCTGAAAGTGTACATGAATGACATGTTAAGTCAGGGGTTATATGTATATATATGCAATTGGACAAAATCCTGTCATTCCTAAAGTGAAAGGACGATTTCGAAGATTTGCAATGTTTCTCCTATTGGGCCCTGCCCTTCTGCCCCCATGGGGGTCGGACCCAAAATTCCCAGACACAAAATTAGGTCCCCTTCAGATTAAATAAGAATAAAGTCCCTTAATCCCTATGGTGGAAGAAGGGTTTTAAAGGTTTTACCTCTATTTCTCCTATTCGGTTCCACCCCTCTGCCCCCAGGGGGTCCACACCCACCATTTATACAAAATTGAGTATAAGGATGCTCCAGACCAAATTAAGTCAAAATCTACTTGGCCATTCAGGACAAGTAGCATTTTTTAAAAGAATAGTTGATGGACGGACAGACGATGGACACTGCGGTATGGCATAACCTCACAATGGTCCTTGGGACCAGGTGAGCTAAAAACATAGATCTATGAGAAACAAATCTTAGATCCTTACATGTAGAAAAAATGCAACGATAAAAACTCTTCTTCAATATTATTATAATGCAGGCACAAAGATGTTTAAATGTTTAACTATTGAATGATGAAATCATCCTCACACTTCATGAACAAGTTTAATTTGATAGTAGCCGTCTTGCAATTGCTTTCAGATGTTTTCAAATGAATCTTGACACATGAAAACCTCCTGTAACTTTTCTATTTTGGATTTAATGATAAACTGGAGTCTAGAGAAAGCCAGCTCTAGATTCTTTTTTAATCAAATTGAGACAGTTCTATATATGGAGAAACATTTTCACTTGCATCACTTCCAGAAAGCAAGATATTGAAAATGTATAAGTATATATAATATCCAAGCATGTCTATCTAGAACAGTAAGCAATAGACTAATTAATACTATCTCCATTCCTTACAAAAAAATGAAATAATAAACGTGCCAGGGCACAACTACATTGTACAGGCTACATATCATTGAAATTGGTTTAACAGTTGTTTTGGAGTTGTCCACAGAATTGGTCACAAAAACAGGTATAACTTCAGGTTCAGGTATCAGAATGAATAAACAAGAGGCCCAGAGGGCCTGTATCGCTCATCTGGATATCTAAGCAATCATGGCAAAATATTCTCCAAATAGGATCCAAGGGAATGGGCCAGACTCAAAGGCCAATCCTTGTAGCATATCTGTATGAGATTTTTCATGCCCAGCAATTTTATGCAAGGTTATGGGATGGGGATCTCAACTATTTCCAAGGTGTGACTCAGAAACTAGGTCCCTAGGATTATGGCCAGACCCAAGAATCAATTATAATACCATGACTGCATTCGTCTCTTAATGCCCAGCATTTGTATATGTATAGTTTTGGGGTGGGGATCTCAACTGTTTTAAAGTTATGACCCAGGGGTCTACAAGGGTGGGGCAGACCCGGGGTCAATTCTAATATCATGACTGTATTCGTCTCTTTATGCCCAACAATTGTATATATAATTTGGGGTGGGGATCTTGGATTTTGGAGTTATGACCCAGGGGTTAAGTTTCCAAAGGTGGGACAGACCCCAGAGCCGTCCTGGAAGCATATGTGCATTCGTCTCTTTATACTCAGCAATTGTATATCTGGTTAAAGGGTGGGGATTTCAACTGTTTCCAAGCGGTGACTCAGAAACTAGTTCCCTTGGGGTTTGGCCAGACCCTAGGGTATATTCTAATATAATGACTGCATTTGTCTCTTTATGCCAAGCATTTGTATACACAGTTTTGGGGTGAGGGTATTAACCATTTAAAAGTTATGACCCAGGGACTATGTATCCAATGGTGGGACCAAACCCTAGGGCCATCCTGGAAGCATATGTGCATTCTTCTCTTTAGGCTCAGCAATTGTATATCTGGTTATAGGGTTATTGCCCCCTTTTGGCCCTGCCCCTCAGTCCCCTGGGGGGTCAGCCCTACCATTTGTACAATTTTGAATCCCCACCACGTAGGGATGCTTCCAGTCAAATTTAATTAAAGTCCAATCAGTTGCTAAGAAGAAGTCATTTAAAGAAATTGTTGGTGTACGGACGATGGACAGATGACGGACGCCAAGGTATGGCACAAGCTCACCTCGGTCCTTCGGACCTGGTGAGCTAAAAATAAAATAGAAAACCTTTTCTATGAAAAGGCATAATACTGCATAACTATGTCTCATGTTCTACTCATATATGTGTAAAATTTGGTTGATGTTGGTGATTTTTCATAGGAATGGGATGTAATTGTTTCACAAGACAGCTAAGAAAATTTGTATGAAACTACACAAAAAGTTACTGAACCAGAGAAAATGATTTAATTCCAGTGGAAAGATATTCTACAACATCTGCTGTGAGAAGCAGCAGCAAAAATGCCATGTTGGACACTTATCAACTGGAACCATTTTATTTTCATCTGGTGCAGTTACCTGGAACTGTTCCTTGATCTCAACACAAGGTGGCACTGTGATATATAATTTCTTATTATATCACACTCTCCTCCAAGTTCAAAGGTCACCTGATGATCTCAATCTTTCTTCTCCAAACCTAGACGTAAAAATTGAAATCAGTGCATATTATATTAAATTAAGTGTTGACATAATCACATCTGCTTAAAAGATCACAAAGTAGAAACTGACTATGTCAACAAAGCAAGTACATAAAACGCTAAATATGGTCCAAAACATTTATATATATATACATAATCGGTAACAATTATGGTTTATAATTTGCAGAATTCTTAAAAACAAGAAAAAGAAACTAATGTAATCTGCAAACTTTCAAAGATATGTATACACAATGTATGTGACCTACAGTCTTTAATTTTATTTATTTATTTCAGAATTTTAGACAGGATTTCAAATGTCCCTGTCCAAAACGTTGATTTATAACTAATTTTACAAAACTGCATGTCAAAATTGATATACAAATTACAATAGTAAGGACAGTGGAAAGTTGCCCTTCAAAATAGGTCTCTTTCAGAAGACTGCCCGTCAAAAAGACAGGTGAACGGGTGGCTGAGTCGGTTTAATAGCACTAGTGACGTACCTCAAGTTTTCACCTTTTTAATTTTCTTAGACTAGATATCTGCACATTTACCAAAAGGAATCCAAAATGTTCTTTACTGTAAAGCAATATTATTTAGGATATCCCATTAATAGTAATCTTACTATACAATATGTAACAGCTTAACCATTGACACATTAATTGATTTGAAAGTAACAGTATGAACAAAAAAGAGGGTAATTTTTTCAACATAATCCAATAACAAAAAAACACAATAAGGTACAATTGTGCACAAACATGTTGATTCAGTTGTCTTTCTTTGTGTTAAAATGTGTACAAATGTACCTCACTAGATTTAGTTGAAAGAATAATATTTGCTCAAATTGTTTAAAAAGAACTTTTGTGTGTTTTTCTTTCACTTCATTCCCCGTTTCAGTACTAAAATTGTTACGCTCAAATGTAGCTGTTACCCAAATGCAGGATTATTATCCATCCTATTTTTTACATTTTTGATAACGTTCGTAACACATTTATTTTCCAGACGTAATATCCATTACTCTACCGGGTAGCATTTCAAAAAATACGGTTTATTGTTTTACATTGCAGAGGTGATGATTGGGGAGGGGGGGCACGATGATCAGAATCACGCAGTTTTAGAAGAGAGGAGTTTACAATCTCAGGAACAATATTTTAATAAGTTCTAAGCTAAGTAGTTTACATCGCTTTGACTTCCAAGATGCATCTTAGGGAACCAATGGCTTCGTCTGTTCATGGAGGACATCGGAGCACGCCTATGTATTACGGATTAGTGTTTTGGAACGTTTAATGCCCAAACGTACTCCTTCTTTGAACTTAACGTGGGTCTATACATACATAAATAATATTAATCGTTTGGCATGGTGAACGTGATAAATATATATTAGACAATTACGGTTTTCAATTGTCGGCATCTGCTCTGCTCCAATTCTTTCTTGCGGCATCAAACTCCCCGGATGTTACACCGGCGCATTCGATTACATTTCCGTAAAAAAAACACATTTTTGTTTTCCAAGAAACCAACCGAAGTCTTTATTATAAAACAAACAAAATAAATGAATAAGTAAAAAAACTACGGTTACGGAAATGAATGCAATTCATTTTTATTGTTGATTCTTGCGACTGATGGCTTTCTTCTTGTTCTCGCATCTGTTTTTGTTTTGACCGGAAACACGTGTGTCTGTTTACTGATCTCCCAAAGCAAGTTGCAGACTTGAGTTGCACTTGGGAAACCTTTTACAATACAACAGTATAGGTAAGCTAATAATAATTGTTATTGGCCGAGAGGAGACATGGATGACATTTTTATTTTTCGCTGTTCAGTATAGACGCTTCGAATTGACCACCGCATATGCAATAGAATAAACAGTTTGTGTGACTGTTTTTAGACATTGTATATAGTAAACAGGGTTAGCTGTAAACAGTGTCGTAAAATATCAGCAGGGACAATTAACATGAACACAGGGAAACTTAATAAATGATCAAATAAATCACTCAGTTGCGGAACTGACGGGGAAATGGAACTAAGACAGATATTCATGTGGTAGTATTTAGTTACAAGTGTGGATTTTTTAAAACTGAAACTGGGGAAAATAAAGCTGAAATAGGGGGAAATTTGAGAGGGGAATTGACCCATATATGGCCATCAAAAAGGCCTGTATATATCCATGCTATATATTAGCATTTAGTATTAAACTGCTTTTATTTTCAGTAACACAATTATTGACTATGCAAGTGACGTGTTAATTCATTAGTTTATGCAACTATATAACATTGCAGATGTGATAGTATTTTAATATTATTTAGGAGTTTGATAATTGCAATATACAATAAACAATGAAGGTTTTTTAGCTATATGTAGATTTACAATTTGCACACCTTAGTTTCTTGAATCGTGTTGTTGTAATATGGGTTTGTTTTATTTGTAGAAAAAAATTGAATATGACGTCACAAAGAAAAAGGAAGATTTCAGGCAGTTCTTCATTGCAGGCTGATCCAGCATCCAAGAAAAGAGTGGAAAAGCTTTTCCAAAAAAAATTCTCTTACTCTCCAAATTCAAACAAAAGCAAGTACGCACCACCATCACTAAGCATTGCTTGTGAGTGCGGAGAATGGCTGATTGAAGAAACCCAGCAGATGAAGGTGAACTTGAATGCTGTGAAGGACAAACTCAGTGATAAGGACATCTCGCTATGGCATGCACATACAGGACAGATGAATTTGGCTGGAACTGTTATCTCAGAGCTAAGAGAGAATTTCAAACCAGAACTTTGTACACAAGCTTGGTGTAAATTTTATGAAATTGTGTCGACCTTTAAATTGATTGACTTTGGCAATCCTGAATTCAATTCAGTACATCTATGTGAGGCTCCTGGGGCATTCATCACAAGTCTGAATCATTACTTAATATCTCATGGTATGTATCCATATCCGAAAATAGCATTCAATATTATACAACTAATCAGCACAAAGACCTTTTCTTGCATTCTATCCAATATTTGTATACTAACTGGTATGCAAACATAGTCAAGGGGGATATACTGAAATTACCATGATCAGCCATCTGTTGGAAATTTGGGTTCAAGGCTGTCATTATAAGTGTGTTCTTTTTCAGCTACATAATTATCCAACCTACAGAATGTTAACCTATAGAATGTCATATATTCTTATTCATTTTGAGGTCAAAAGTCAGTTGATAATCATGAATGATTTGTTATGCAAAAATCTTAATTGGACTAGATATAGAGCATCAGATGGAACCTCTTCACATGATGACTATCTATGGATGACAAGATACCCTAAGTTTAGGGGTTAAAGTTCAGGGTCACAGTGAACCTTTCTGAAATTGTTTCCAGACCCTCAGAGGAGTATTTATTCCACTTTTTAAACATAGTAAACTATCTACCCAAAAGTCAAGTAGTTGTAGGAGGAATTTTGGGTTCTAAAGGTCAAACTATATCCTGTGAAAATGGTTTCTTCAACCTTTAAGTGGCCCTAGGACTTATGTATTTTCAAAGTAGCTGCCCATTCTTTCATGTCAATTTATCCTAGAGATTTTGAGGTTAACCGGTTATAATATCAAGGTGACATTACTCTTTTGTCGGGAATAAACAATGGAAGAGTTGAAAATTCTGCCTTATAACAAGATTCCAGTTGTATGTGACATCTTGTTTCAGATTACCAAGGAACGTGGACCTGGTTTGGTAACACCCTAAACCCTTACTATGAGGGAAACAATGTGAGCCAGATGATTGCAGACGATCGCTTTATCCTGCACAGTCTGCCCTACTGGGACTTTGGAGCAGATGGCACAGGCAACCTCATGGATTGGGACAACTTGCAGCAACTTGCAGCTACCTGTCAGAAGATGGCACCCATCCACCTGGTAGGAAAGATACATAAGTTAACTATAACTGGTTTGTAAAAACAAGGAAAAATAAGTTCTGAGATAATCCATAGTCATCATGGAGGTGTCCTACAAGGGGGAGCAAACAGTAGATATGGATTAATTTGTTAGCATGATCTTATACAAAATTAATTCTTAGTCAAACAATGATAGACTGGTATACCAATGTTGATGTCATACTATAGTGATAAAATTGATTTTATAAAGATAACTTATTATTGATGTAAATGCTAGTTATGGCTGTATGCTGGTACTAGGTACTTTAGTTGATAAACGTGTTGTCTCCCTTGATCCTGGAAATTACTGGTATATGATTATGTAAAATATAGTCAAAGGAAAACTTGATGGCCTGGACCCTTGCTCTGACAGTACATTATAGCCTAAAGTTGTCTAGCACTTCCACCAGAGATTGACAAATTAAGACAGCTTGAAAGTCTACCAAGACTGTAAAGTTGTGAAAATATGTCTAAACTGGATACGAACACCAGTCAATGATATACTGATTACCAACACCATTTACTGTTTAATAAAATTAAAGACGAATTTGATGGATCCCAATACTAGGAGAGGCTGAACAATTTCAGACGTATCTTGACACAGCTATGATAGCAGGTTATTTAGTTTCATCACTGTAACACTTTATGTTACTCATCAAATTTATAGTAGTGCTTGGATTTTCTGGACAATTTTCCCATTAGAGTGACAGCCATTATCTTATATGTTACCTAGGTGACATGTGATGGCAGTATTGACTGTCAGGATACGCCCGGTGACCAGGAAGCGGTTGTGTCCCGCCTCCACTGCAGTGAGGCTTTAGCGGCCATGACCATCCTCTCACCCGGGGGTTCTCTTGTCCTCAAAAAGTTCACAATGTTTGAGTGCGAGACTGTCTGCCTCCTGTATCTTCTCAACTGTGCCTTTGACCAGGTGAACACTAAGTTATCCAACAACATTTTCTCAATCCAATACAGAGTTTTGCGAGAGCTTATATGGTTTTCTTTACAATGTGTGCTTGAAGTTCTGCCTTATCTGGTTAGGGGAACACAATTAAAAAGTCATAAGATGATATTTCTAAGTCGATATAAGGTGTTTTTTTTGGTACTAGATTTCAAAAAAAGAAAATGCAATAGTATAAGCTCCTAATAAAAATCAAAGCAAGAAAATCAAAAAATTCATGTGACATGGTTTAAAATCTTGAACGTGTATGTTCTCTTTTGACTGATCAGGTTGAAGTATTCAAACCAGCCACCAGCAAAAGTGGAAACTCTGAAGTGTACGTCATTGGTACAGGCTTCCATGGTAACAGTACCATAGCGGGGCTCACAGACTATGTTAAACACTATTTCCGTAAGTAAGCACCGACTACTTTTAATGTCTTTGTAGATTTGTTCGAGACGTTTTGATCCCCTAGTAAATTATTGGCCAATAAAGAGGTGGGAGTTTGGCTGTTCAAAAGTGTCTTTCGCCCACTTGTCATTTGCTTGTCCATTCTTAAAAACAATTCTTGTGATGCATGATTTATTTTGAGACTGTTTAATGAACAAGATGGCCACCAGGTGGCCGTCTTGGTTTTTGTGAATTTCATATTGTTATTGCTATTTCTAATAAGTGCTGGATGGGTCTTTCTCAAATTTCATATGTATGTGTAGGTTCCCCATGGTCCTTAGTTAGGCGCGTTTTATTTGGAGACTGATTGAAGAACAAAATGGCTATCTGATGACAATGTTGGATTTTCACATTTAATACCACTTTTTTTTCTTAGAGACTTGAGGAATCTTTCTCAAGTAAGTAGGTTGTCCTTCATCCTTATTTGTACATGTTTCATTTTAAGATTGATTGGAAGAACAAGATAGCTTCCCGGTAGCCATCATGAATTTTGACAATGAAGTTTGTTATCACTATTTCTCCATGCAGTAAGTACTGCATGGATATTTTTTTTAATTGATATGTAGGTTTCCTTCGGTTGTAGAAGTTGTGCATGTTTAAACAAGACGGCTACCAGGCAGGTATTTTGATTTTTATAGGTAATGTTTGTGATCTGTTTTTCCCCAAGAAGTACTTGACAAATCTTTCACAAATTTCGTATGTAGGTTACCCTTGGTCTGTAGTTGTGCATGTTTTTTTTTCATAATTATTTGTTACACATAAATTCCCATGTTCTCAGAAAACGGAGCTGTTCAGATGCTGTTCAGGCGAGAATGTATCCCTGACACTTTTGTATCCGAACATGTGGCATGTTGTGAAATGTTTACATCACTCCAAAGGGAGACAATCTGCAACAATTTGGACCACTATCCATCAGTGTCTGAGCAATACGTCCTGTGGCTAGAGACTATGAGGGACTACTGTGCAGAAATGTACATCACAAAGTTTGACCTCAAGCAAATATCAGTTAACTGTAGAATAGGTCACAGTTACAGGAAGAAGAGACTGGTAAGTTTATAATTATAATGAAAAAACATATTTAATTTTCCTTAAGTTCCACATGATTGAATATGCATTTGCATGTTTTATTTTATTGTATTGATGTGAACTATATAATTTAATACAATCTCTCCTTGGCGATGTTTTTGTCACATTTCATTTACAAAATGGTACACAAATGAGAGATAACAGCAGGGTATCTTCAAAACAAAATTCTGGTTTCTTTTACATTGTTGTATAGATATTACACACTCATGCATCATACCATAATGGTTGCGTTTCAATACTTAAATTGAATACAGTAAGGGTTGATTGCTCTAAAGTGAACTTTAGAAAAAATTCTACTTGATAGAGCCATTCCGCACAGAGCTTCAAAAATGACTATACACCATTTGACCAGAAACGACGCTCAGGAACCTTCACAGATAGACATAATTCAAATGAATTACCATGGCAACAAAGAGTTCATCACCTTGACAGATACAATGTGAAGCCCCCAAAGATCATTTGGTGTCAGGTAAGACTTGATAGGTGGCTTGATATCAGATAGCAATGCAGACCTGAGAGGTAATTTAACTAACATCAGGTATGACTTGATAGGTCGCTTGATGTCAAATAGCAATGCAGTCCTGAGAGGTAATTTAACTAACATCAGGTAAGACTTGATAGGTGGCTTAATGTCAGATAGCAATGCAGACCTGAGAGGTAATGTAACTGACTTTAGGTAAGAGTTGATAGGTCGCTTGATGTCAGATAGCAATGCAGACCTGAGAGGTAATGTAACTGACTTTAGGTAAGACTTGATAGGTCGCTTGATGTCAGATAGCAATGCAGACCTAAATGGTAATGTAACTAACATCAGGTAAGACTTGATAGGTCGCTTGATGTCAGAGTGCAATGCAGACCTGAGAGGTAATGTAACTAACATCAGGTAAGACTTGATAATGTTTCAGTATCCTTTGAGACTAAATATGTTGCTTTGTATTAAAAGTAAAGACCTGATAAGTCGCGTGTACCGGATGTAAGTAAAGACTTGAAAGGTGGTTTAGTATCAGATAAGGAAGAAGCAATAACACATTTGAATTTTTGATTATTCATGTTTGATGAAGTATTCATATAAGACTCTTTCATGCCCAGGGGTGTAGGATAGGGAAATTCCCCCCAAGGGGTTTAACCAAATTTGAAAATCCTGAGGGTGGAATGTCCCTATCCTACATCCTTGGGCATGAAAGAGTATTTTTCTCTCATTCCAACCACCAGAATAAGCCCAGAAACCATGAAAATGCATTTGGACTGGCCACCATTTTGAAAATATAATTTTTTCCCCTGAGCTTTTTAGACGAAAACGAATCAGCCAGACAGATTAAGCATATCCCATATTTGCAAACAATGTTTGCGCAGAAAAATTAATCACATCTTTCTAACATGTACGGTAAATGTAATGTAAAAGGTTTTAATTTCATCACGTCGCTTTTGCATTGCGGCATCGGAGAGTTCCAAATTTGTGACGTCATGTGAAATGGGGTGTAAGATAGAAATTTCCTACACCCCTTTCTTACCCTGGACAGCTCTATCTTACACACAGGGAAATGAGAGAATGACGTGTATTTCACATGAAGTCGGATTAAAGGAATTGAAGAGTTTACATAGAAGTCTCTATCACTGATTTCTGTCTAATGATGCGGATGTTAATATGTACCATGCTGTTAAAACTTACTGACCGACATTTGTTTGTGTACAAGTTAACATTGATTGATTTATGCTTGTTCATCCACGTGTTAAGATGCTGATGCTGATATATGTGTACATAAATAAGGTATACCGACCTATATGCTGGTTTGTTATCAATATTTCTTGATGTGCACTGGTGTGTGTTCACTTGTTGTATCTGTAGTTTGAGGCGTTTCTGGAGGATATGGATGGTGAGGACTGTTCATGTGGCAAGCCAGTGTCCCGTCTCATCAACTCCCGCTTCTGTGATGGCAAACTCATACAGCAGATGCAGGAACTCATACAAAATGCCAAGGTGTGAATTCTTTTAGCAGTTTCGGGCCATTAGTATGGGCAAGTGCTTTTCAAAACTTACCTGAAATCCAAATACACTGGTCCAAAGTTTTGAAGAAATATAGTGTAGCTGTTGTAATGACAAACCCAGCTGAATTCCTTCAACTCATGCTGGTTTGGAAGCTATCACACGTTTCTTCTTGTAATGATTTATAACATTTATAACCTCTTTTTGTCCATATCTTTTAATTTCCTTGTCATTCCCTCCTCCCAACTTTTAGTTTGTGCTTATTTTCTCATCTTCTTTTCTTTCACCATTTCAACAAAAGAAAACAAAAGTTGTTAATCTTTAGCTGGAAACCCCAGTACATACAACTTGTGCTGAAGCTTGTCGATACTTTACAGATGTAGCTGTTCCTACTATACTGTCATAACTCTACTATAGGAAACCACTGGACATTGCTTATCAATTAAACTCAATACATTAAACAAGTAGTTTTCTTCTTAGTACAATGATAAACATTTTCATGGTTTTGCCTTTTTGATTGTTTGTTTTAAAGAATTATATCTACATTTAAATATTTAATTTACGTATGTTTCATTCTGGTAAATGTTTATGATTAGCCTATTTGATTTTCACTGGGCCATTAAGCTGCAGAACCATTAAAATATCCATAGATGAATTAGAATGTCACCAGGCTGATACAATTGGTGTTCATTATGCTGTGTGGATTGTAGAGATGTTTCTTACTTATACAGGATTACAGAAACAGCCTACACGCTCCTCCATTGTCATCTGTCAGTCATGCTTTAGATGGCCTCACTCATGACTGTGAGGAGTCCACGGGAAGTGAGTGTGAGAGGTCAGAGGTCACAGAGGAAAAGTCAGACTACACTGTTGTCCTGCTGTCTGATGAAACTCCATCATCTGACGACGATAAATGGGAAGATCCTAGGATATCAAAAGTAGGATCAGTTACTATGAGTGTCAGTAAAGATTTATATAAAAAACCGAGATGTGCCTGTAAGCTTACTGTTTAACCAAATTACAAAATTACAGTAAATGACGCGAGTAACTAGGATTACAGTTACAGTGAGTGACAGTTTAATTGGGGGTCACAATTATAGTGAGTGACAGTGTAACTAGGGACATAGTTATAGTGATAGAGTAACTAGAATCACATTTACAGTGAGTAACTCGGGTTACAGGGAGTGGCTGTGTAACTGGGGTTACAGGGAGTGGCTTTGTAACTAGGAGAGTGACTAGAATCACATGTAGAGTGAGTAATTGGGGTTACAGGGAGTGGCAATGTAACTAGGAGAGTAGTCCGAATTATTCTGACGTTTTATCGACTTTTTTCATATCGGTCTGTCGTCGATTAACGTCAGAACTCCGGCCCTCTATAATATGTGGGAAATATGCAACCCGTGCCCGGAGCGCACTTCCAACTGATATTTTAGAAACAAATCGTCACTTTCACACACATGTCGCACATTGATCGAAAGAAGTGTGCTCAAGGCACGGGTTGCATATTTCCCGCATATTATAGAGGGCCGGAGTTCTGACGTTAATTGACGACAGACCAATATGAAAAAAGTCGATAAAACGTCAGAATCATTCGGACTACTAGGAGAGTGACTAGAATCACATTTACAATGAGTAACTAGGGTTACAGGGAGTGACAATGTAGCTAGGAGAGTGACTAGAATCAAATTTACAATAGGTAACTATGGTTACAGGCAATGATAATGAGTAACAAGGGTTAGAGGCAATGATAATGAGTAACTATGGTTACAGGCAATGACAATGAGTAACTAGGGTTACAGGCAATGATAATGAGTAACTACGGTTACAGGCAATGACAATGAGTAACTGGGTTACAGGGAGTGGCATTGAAACTAGGAGAGTGACTAGAATCAAATTTACAATGAGTAACTATGGTTACAGGCAATGATAATGAGTAACTATGGTTAGAGGCAACGATAATGAGTAACTGGTTACAGGCAATGACAATGAGTAACAAGGGTTACAGGCAATGATAATGAGTAACTAGGGTTACAGGCAATGACAAGAGTAACTAGGGTTACAGGGAGTGACAACGTAACTAGGAGAGTGACTAGAATCAAATTTACAATGAGTAACTATTGTTACAGGCAATGATAATGAGTAACTAGGGTTAGAGGCAATGATAATGAGTAACTATGGTTACAGGCAATGACAATGAGTAACTGGGGTAACAGGGAGTGGCAATGAAACTAGGAGAGTGACTAGAATCAAATTTACAATGAGTAACTATGGTTACAGCCAATGATAATGAGTAACTATGGTTAGAGGCAATGACAATGAGTAACTAGGGTTACAGGCAATGATAATGAGTAACTATGGTTACAGGAAATGACAATGAGTAACTAGGGTTACAGGGAGTGGCAATGAAACTAGGAAAGTGACTAGAATCACATTGGGGTTACAGGGAGTGGCAATGTAACTAGGAGAGTGACTAGAATCACATTTGGGTTACAGGGAGTGGCAATGTAACTAGGAGAGTGACTAGAATCACATTGGGGTTACAAGGAGTGGCTATGTAACTAGGAGAGTGACTAGAATCACATTTACAATGAGTAACTAGGGTTACAGGCAATGATAATGAGTAACTAGGGTTAAAGGGAGTGACAATGAGTAACTAGGGTTACAGGAAGTAACAATGTAACTAGGAGAGTGACTAGAATCACATTTACAATGAGTAACTAGGGTTACAGGGAGTAACAATCTAATTAGGATCACAGTTACAGTGAGTGTAATTTCTTTCCTAAAAAAGTAAAAATGTCAAATTCAAAACCCAGTTCTGTTTATGTTTCCGGTAGTGTGGGTTCTAATCAATGTGTGTTAAATTGTTTTACCCTTTGTTTTCAAAGTAATTATAGACAGTGTAAAAATGTATTGAGAAACAAGTATTAAACAGATAAACAGTTTTAAATAATGCACCACTTATGTCATCGATGACTTTCATTGTTATCTAATATTTCTTTGTAGGTACTGCACATGGGGTTAACATCAGTCAAGTCTCCTGATGAAGATGACAACATCATTTTCTATGTGGATATCACAACAGACAAGTACTGTGGGGAGATGGAGATTCTGTCTCAGTGTACCCTGTTGTCATGGACACACACACTTTTAAAGGTAACAGAGAGACTGTCTCAGTGTACCCTGATGTCAGGGAGACACACACTGTTAAAGGTACCAGAGAGTCTGTCTCAGCGTACCCTATTGTCATGGACACACATGCTGTTAAAGGTAACAGAAATTCTGTCTCAGTGTCCCCTGTTGTCAGGGAGACTCACAATGTTAAAGGTAACAGAAATTCAGTCTCAGTGTACCCTGTTGTCATGGACACACATACTGTTAAAGGTAACAGAGAGTCTGTCTCAGTGTACCCTATTGTCATGGACACACACACTGTTAAAGGTAACAGAGAGTCTGTCTCAGTGTACCCTGTTGTCAGGGAGACACACAATGTTAAAGGTAACAGAAATTCTGTCTCAGTGTACCCTGTTGTCATGGACACACACACTGTTAAAGGTAACAGAGATTCTGTCTCAGTGTACCCTGTTGTCATGGACACACACACTGTTAAAGGTAACAGAGATTCTGTCTCAGTGTACCCTGTTGTCATGGACACACACACTGTTAAAGGTAACAGAGATTCTGTCTCAGTGTACCCTGTTGTCATGGACACACACACTGTTAAAGGTAACAGAGATTCTGTCTCAGTGTACCCTGTTGTCATGGACACACACACTGTTAAAGGTAACAGAGATTCTGTCTCAGTGTACCCTGTTGTCATGGACACACACACTGTTAAAGGTAACAGAGATTCTGTCTCAGTGTACCCTGTTGTCATGGACACACACACTGTTAAAGGTAACAGAGATTCTGTCTCAGTGTACCCTGTTGTCATGGACACACACACTGTTAAAGGTAACAGAGATTCTGTCTCAGTGTACCCTGTTGTCATGGACACACACACTGTTAAAGGTAACAGAGATTCTGTCTCAGTGTACCCTGTTGTCATGGACACACACACTGTTAAAGGTAACAGAGATTCTGTCTCAGTGTACCCTGTTGTCATGGACACACACACTGTTAAAGGTAACAGAGATTCTGTCTCAGTGTACCCTGTTGTCATGGACACACACACTGTTAAAGGTAACAGAGATTCTGTCTCAGTGTACCCTGTTGTCATGGACACACACACTGTTAAAGGTAACAGAGATTCTGTCTCAGTGTACCCTGTTGTCATGGACACACACACTGTTAAAGGTAACAGAGATTCTGTCTCAGTGTACCCTGTTGTCATGGACACACACACTGTTAAAGGTAACAGAGATTCTGTCTCAGTGTACCCTGTTGTCATGGACACACACACTGTTAAAGGTAACAGAGATTCTGTCTCAGTGTACCCTGTTGTCATGGACACACACACTGTTAAAGGTAACAGAGATTCTGTCTCAGTGTACCCTGTTGTCATGGACACACACACTGTTAAAGGTAACAGAGATTCTGTCTCAGTGTACCCTGTTGTCATGGACACACACACTGTTAAAGGTAACAGAGATTCTGTCTCAGTGTACCCTGTTGTCATGGACACACACACTGTTAAAGGTAACAGAGATTCTGTCTCAGTGTACCCTGTTGTCATGGACACACACACTGTTAAAGGTAACAGAGATTCTGTCTCAGTGTACCCTGTTGTCATGGACACACACACTGTTAAAGGTAACAGAGATTCTGTCTCAGTGTACCCTGTTGTCATGGACACACACACTGTTAAAGGTAACAGAGATTCTGTCTCAGTGTACCCTGTTGTCATGGACACACACACTGTTAAAGGTAACAGAGATTCTGTCTCAGTGTACCCTGTTGTCATGGACACACACACTGTTAAAGGTAACAGAGATTCTGTCTCAGTGTACCCTGTTGTCATGGACACAGACACTGTTAAAGGTAACAGGAATTCTGTCTCAGTGTACCCTATTGTCATGGACACACACACTGTTAAAGGTAACATAGATTCTGTCTCAGTGTACCCTGTTGTCATGGACGCAGACACTGTTAAAGGTAACAGAGATTCTGTCTCAGGGTACCCTGTTGTCATGGACACAGACACTGTTAAAGGGAACAGAGATTCTGTCTCAGTGTACCCTGTTGTCATGGACGCAGACACTGTTAAAGGTAACAGAGATTCTGTCTCAGTGTTCCCTGTTGTCATGGACACACACACTGTTAAAGGTAACAGAAATTCTGTCTCAGTGTACCCTGTTGTCATGGACACACACACTGTTAAAGGTAACAGAAATTCTGTCTCAGTGAACAATGTTGTCATGGACACAGACACTTTCAAAGCCAAATACCCTAATGTCATGATAGTCTCATTTAATATTGCATCGTTCTTATTTCAAAACTGTCACACCATAGCAAGATCTAAAGACTTACCAGCCCTCACCTCATACATGTGCATTGTTTAGGTCTGGAGCCTTTGCCTAAGTACAAACACTGGTGTGCTGATAGGTCGTCTTGTCAGAATTTTAAAATGGAGTAATGAGGAATAATGTTTGTAATAAAAGGAGAATCCTTTTGAAAACGGAAGAGGTGTGCAAAGGTTTTTATCTGACCAGTCCTGTTGTAGAAACTAAAGATGGCAGACTCGCTGATAGTCCGAATGTCCACCTGCCTGACGCGGTTCACTGCTGGCATAGTGTATATGATGGGTCACAGTTTCAGTAGGGTAAGTTTTGTAATTAACATTGTTTCATATGACATGTAGAAGTTTCTCTCTGTAAGTATTGTAGGTATTGCTCTTTATAATATCACCCTGGAAGGAGAAAATTTGTATATAGTATCCAACTGCAGTTGCATTTGTGTCGTGTTGTATTGGCAGAAATGTATATGTACATATCGGAGAAATAATCCAATGTAACTGAAAGTTTTATGAATGAAACTCATGTATAATCAAAGATATCACAGGAGTACCATAGTATACCATTGCCTGTGTACAGGTAGTATATGATAATTGTACAGTAGCAGAACTAGACTGGGTCGATTGTCAGCGACAAGGTAGCTCAATTGGTAGAGCCTCTGTCTAGAGTTTGGAAGGTCCTGGGTTCGAACCTCAGTCTGTCCGTGCCTTTTTTCTCTCCTGTAACAGTACCATTATTATAGGACATACTCTACTGTTAATTATAACAGTTCACTCTGTATCAGAAACAGATACACATTTTTTTGATAATTTTGTATCTTGATCATCAGCAAGTCTTTGTTATTACTCACAGATTGGTTTCCTTCAAGACACAGATGGGACAAGAGTCCAGCAGCTCCTGATTTGTGAGGAGTATGCAGGAGGTCCAGTCAGGGTCCTAAAGCAGCTTGATGCGATTCAGGAAAAACTGGAGAACATTGGTAAAGAAAGCATTCCACAAACTAGCACAATGGACTCGGAGCGTGAATCAGATGTACAAAGTGAGATGGAGACTAGAGCAGAGTGTAATTCAACTTTTCAAGACGAGAGAGAGAAAATCAGTTCAGGATCAAAGTTGACTCTGATGGAAACTGTGCCATTGACAATTCTACTACAGGGTAAGTTCATGGCTACTGTTCGTTTAAACATTTACTGTACCGAATTAAAGTTGCAAACATTGCTACTGGGATGATGCAATACCAGTGATTAAAATCGACTTTTACTAAAGATTATTTATGTTCAACCTCACACCGACACCAATTTAATATTTCTTCATATATCATCACAGGTATTATTCTCAACTAGTTTCAATACATTGTTTGGAGAGAACATTATGACATAGGTCTAGCCCGATGCACAATCCATCAAATTAGAAAAGAAAAAGGTTGAAATTGAAATAGTGCAAAATAATTGATACTAGTTTAGGGAGTATTCTTACCTCAGGCATAGTTTGTAGGCGCTACTCAGCATCAGATTTCTTTATTACCTCACTTATGTATAATAAAAAGAACTTTATAACAATAGACAGAGAGAGAGAGGTTCTGTAATTTAAAACTCATTTGATTTTTTTTCTTAAGGTGATTATCTTTATTTATGCGACTAACATTATGAAATTCCAGATTCCCTGTTTGTGGCCTCTCTATGTCATAGTAATGCAACCCTTCTGAGGAGCTTTGTGAGAATGGTAGGGGACCGGGAGAGGGAGCTTTATCCTATGGAAACTCAGCCTGATCGACTTGAATGAAGGACAGGTGATGATTGGCCTGATGTGCAGAGAAAGAACTGTAAGGGACTGGTGGTCAAGGAGGACTGACTTCCAGGGCCTATTGTTGGGAGGGCAGAATGACATGGAACTGATATATGGAGGGCTGACTTACAGGGCCTATTGTTGGGAGGGCAGAATGACATGGAACTGATATATGGAGGGCTGACTTACAGGGCCTATTGTTGGGAGAGCAAAATGGCATGGAACTGGTATATGGAGGGCTGACCAGCAGGAGACTAGTGAAGGGAGGACAAACTAGCAGCAACCCCTGGTGTGAGGAGGAGAGACAAGATTCGGTAATAATGTGGGGAGGAGTGACTAGAAGAACACTTGTTTCAAGAGGGCCAAATAGTACGAGACTGGTGTGGAGAGGGCCGACTAAGAGGGGACTAATTCCATGAGGGCTTATTAGCATTGGACTAGTTCCTAAAGAATTGACTAGTCTGGGACTGGCATGGGGAGGGTTGACTAGTCTGGGACTGGCATGGGAAGGGTTGACTAGTATGGGACTTGTATGGGGAGGGTTGACTAGTATGGGACTGGCATGGGGAGGGTTGACTAGTATGGGACTGGTATGGAGAGGGTTGACTTGTATGGGACTTGTATGGAGAGGGTTGACTTGTATGGGACTGGTTTCGAGAGGGTTGACTAGTATGGGACTGGTATGGGGAGGGTTGACTAGTCTGGGACTGGCATGGCAAGGGTTGACTAGTATGGGACTTGTATGGGGAGGGTTGACTAGTCTGGGACTGGCATGGTAAGGGTTGACTAGTATGGGACTGGTATGGGGAGGGTTGACTAGTATGGGACTGGTAAGGAGAGGGTTGACTAGTAGGGGACTGGTATGGGGAGGATTTACTAGTATGGGGCTGGTAGTGAGAGGGTTGACTAGTATGGGACTGGTATGGAGAGGGTTGACTTGTATGGGACTGGTATGGAGAGGGTTGACTTGTATGGGACTGGTTTGGAGAGGGTTGACTAGTTGGGGACTGGTATGGGGAGGGTTGACTAGTATGGGACTGGTATGGGGAGGGTTGACTTGTATGGGACTGGTATGGGGAGGGTTGACAGGTATGGGACTGGTATGAGGAGGGTTGACTTGTATGGGACTGGTATGAGGAGGGTTGACAAGTATGGGACTGGTATGGGAAGGGTTGACTAGTATGGGACTGGTAATAGGAGGGTTGACAAGTATGGGACTGGTATGGGAAGGGTTGACTAGTATGGGACTGGTAATAGGAGGGTTGACAAGTATGGGACTGGCATGGGAAGGGTTGACTAGTATGGGACTGGTATGAGGAGGGTTGACTAGTAGGGGACTGGTATGGGGAGGGTTGACTAGTATGGGACTGGTATGGAGAGGGTTGACTAGTAGGGGACTGGTATGAGGAGAGTTGACAAGTATGGGACTGGTATGGGAAGGGTTGACTAGTATGGGACTGGTATGAGGAGGGTTGACTAGTCTGGGACTGGTATGGGGAGGGTTGACTAGTATGGGACTTGTATGGGGAGGGTTGACTAGTATGGGACTGGTATGAGGAGGGTTGACTAGTATGGGACTGGTATGGGGAGGGTTGACTAGTATGGGACTGGTATGGGGAGGGTTGACTAGTATGGGACTGGTATGGGGAGGGTTGACTAGTATGGGACTGGTATGGGGAGGGTTGACTAGTATGGGACTGGTATGGGGAGGGTTGACTAGTATGGGACTGGTATGGGGAGGGTTGACTAGTATGGGACTGGTATGGGGAGGGTTGACTAGTATGGGACTGGTATGGGGAGGGTTGACTAGTATGGGACTGGTATGGGGAGGGTTGACTAGTATGGGACTGGTATGGGGAGGGTTGACTAGTATGGGACTGGTATGGGGAGGGTTGACTAGTATGGGACTGGTATGGGGAGGGTTGACTAGTATGGGACTGGTATGGGGAGGGTTGACTAGTATGGGACTGGTATGGGGAGGGTTGACTAGTATGGGACTGGTATGGGGAGGGTTGACTAGTATGGGACTGGTATGGGGAGGGTTGACTAGTATGGGACTGGTATGGGGAGGGTTGACTAGTATGGGACTGGTATGGGGAGGGTTGACTAGTATGGGACTGGTATGGGGAGGGTTGACTAGTATGGGACTGGTATGGGGAGGGTTGACTAGTATGGGACTGGTATGGGGAGGGTTGACTAGTATGGGACTGGTATGGGGAGGGTTGACTAGTATGGGACTGGTATGGGGAGGGTTGACTAGTATGGGACTGGTATGGGGAGGGTTGACTAGTATGGGACTGGTATGGGGAGGGTTGACTAGTATGGGACTGGTATGGGGAGGGTTGACTAGTATGGGACTGGTATGGGGAGGGTTGACTAGTATGGGACTGGTATGGGGAGGGTTGACTAGTATGGGACTGGTATGGGGAGGGTTGACTAGTATGGGACTGGTATGGGGAGGGTTGACTAGTATGGGACTGGTATGGGGAGGGTTGACTAGTATGGGACTGGTATGGGGAGGGTTGACTAGTATGGGACTGGTATGGGGAGGGTTGACTAGTATGGGACTGGTATGGGGAGGGTTGACTAGTATGGGACTGGTATGGGGAGGGTTGACTAGTATGGGACTGGTATGGGGAGGGTTGACTAGTATGGGACTGGTATGGAGAGGGTTGACTAGTATGGGACTGGTATGGGGAGGGTTGACTAGTATGGGACTGGTATGAGGAGGGTTGACTAGTAGGGGACTGGTATGGGAAGGGTTGACTAGTATAGGACTGGTATGAGGAGGGTTGACTAGTAGGGGACTGGTATGGGGGAGGGCTGATCTTGTGCTGAGAGCATACAGACTTAAGAGACATTATGATCAATGTGTTATTCAGTGTAATATGAAATCAGAATCAAATCTCATCAGTGGTCATGATTTTGTATATGCAATGAAGTTTGTAATATTGATCTGCTTTATTTACATGGTTATGGACACATCATGGAGAGGAAGCACGCCAATAGTGCTAACAGTATTATGCGTCCTTCTTGTATGTTTAATCATTAACCACTAACAATACCTCTATATTGATGTATTTTGAATGAAATATCAAACTTGTCACTACAAGCATAATTTGTAATTAATGGTTTTGTATTATTAACATGAATAAAAAAATTTTTTATACCAAGCCAACAGTTTTCAATTGAATATTTTTGTCTGATCAGACTGGTAAAATGGAGACTGTGCAGGTTTTTTTTACAATACATTTGAACCTTATCATTTAAACAAAATAGCAGCAAAGAGATGTAATTTGTGACAAATTATTTCCTGTTCAAAATTACATTAACTATGAATTGCTCATGATTGCAAATGATTTTACTGGGGTGATATTAATTTACTTCTTTGATTTGAGTAGTCCAGCTATATCCCTCCTCATCAATACTGAGGTAGCCAGTAGTGTCTGACTCGACTATTGGGAATCTGTAGTGTTAGTGTTTGGGTAGTTGGGTAGTGATGGGTCTGTGATTGGGTAGTGATGGGTCTGTGATTGGGTAGTTGGGTAGTGATGGGTCTGTGATTGGGTAGTGATGGGTCTGTGATTGGGTAGTGATGAGTCTGTGATTGGGTAGTTGGGTAGTGATGGGTCTGTGATTGGGTAGTGATGGGT